GATGAAGGTGATGGTCGGCGAAGGACTCTAAGAAGGACTGTGACTGTACCGGGAAGAAAGTTCCTTTCACACAGGAGGCCTTGAAGAGAAACGTCCCCAGGACACACACTCTTCGTTTTTATCTGGCCATCCCGGTGTTTGAGCTTTTCAACACTATGACTGAGGATTCTGTGCAGACTGACCCGAGTTGGCCTACAATGTGTTAGAATCAATAGATATCAAACAAATATACATGGTAAAGAAACAGCAGTCTTGTGTCAAAGTTGACACGGTGGAAAAGGGAAAGGGTTGGTATTCAGGGTTTCTTTTATAAATGAATTGATCTGTGCTGGGTTTACAGTGCTCGTTTTATCTATGGAGGCAGTTTATACACAACTGGGCTTGGCGCTTTGGTGTCCTCTGATTACACATTTATTGGACTATTTATTGGACAGGTATTTGGAACAGCAACATCTGATTCATTAACTTCAAGAAATGACTACTACTAACAGAACATAACCATCCATAAATTACCTTAATGGCTCCTTTCAGGGTCTTTCCAAAGACTACCAGTGAGCTCTGATCATTTCACAAAAACTCCACTGATTAATTTTAGGGAAGAACCACTCAACCTTATATTATCATCAAACCAATGCATCATTGTAACCATATTTGCAAAATTAAGGTGAAAGAGACAACCCATTTGTTGCCTCTGTCACCCTTGTCTGTGTGTCTCGTGTATCTCTGTATACACCATTCCTCAACCGTGTCCAACGGGGACAGCCGTGGGTAATGACAGTCGAACGCTTGCTCGCTCCTCATTTACTCCAAGCTGGCGGTGTAACAGTTTGCTTAAGTGCTTGTTAATGTAATATGCAAATATGTCTCTTGACAATCTGAATGCATTTTAATGAAAAGGCTGCTGCATCCATGGGCTGGGTCAACATGTGGGGGGACAGAAAAAGGCCAGGGGCAGGTTGAACAGACAGCACAGGGGACGTGTGGCTGAAGGATAGCAGTGCTGTGGTACAAAGTATTAGGGTGAGAGAAGCCCAGATGGCACGTTTTGGACATGCATGGCGGCTGGTTGCAGCATGAACATGTACAACACACAGAGGTGATCTCGCGTCCGATGTTCCCAGCAGATAGAGCTTCAAAACTAAATGCACGGTTCTGAAAGGGAGCAAACACAAGGATCAGCCTTCACAGACATGATAGAGTAAAACACACACTCTCTCACACACACACACACACACACACACACACCTCTATTAATGATAGACCTTAGCTTAACCTTCGCCTACATACTGTATGGGTGGCGCAGTCTGCTGAAAGTAAGGTGAGCGTGTTATTGGGAAGGTGGGGGTTGAATTGCAGGCGGTGTTAAGTCAAGCAGGAACCCTCAATGTTGCTAATTTATTTACAGATTTAATTAGATGGATAGAGCCCTCACAGATATAAGAAAGAGAGCAGAGATGTTGCCAGCGTTACAGCACTTTAATTATGGTAGAAGGCTCCTGATCCCTGCGCTCCGCTGTCAGGGGAGCCAGTTAATTAAAATCCTCATTATTTTACTTTTAATTAGTTCCCCCCTCTTTTGTTTCCTTTCACCATATGGCCGCGTTCCGTGGTCAAATTAACGTAATTGAGCTAATTAAGCCGATCACTTTAATTATTCAAAGCGATGCGATTGGCCAGGAGAACTTTTCTCCCTCTCCCCTTCCCGACATTCCTGTATGAGGTTTAGAGCTGTAAAGTCGCTCTCTTTGTCAATGTGCTCTACTCCCATGTTGAAGGCAGCAGGTTATGTCTGCAACATGGATTACTTCTTACATGTTCCATGTGTCTCATGTTTCACTCTCCTACCATGCAGCACTGGACACTTTCAGAGAGGATTCAGGAACCGTTCAACACACTATGATGAAGACAATTCAGGTGCGTGCTACTAGTTGTACCAGCTACATCTGGTGCTCAGCGATTGGAGCGACCAGAAATGGGTTTGGCAGGCCGAGCAGCTTTCAAAAGGATTGTCAGCACAACTACATGCCACAGAGGGTCTTTTGTTTCTGTCACTGCATTTACATGCCAGGATTTAGAAAAGAGTGGCAAAATACTTGTTGACGTTGAGCTCAATAACTAAAGGTGGACAATACCTGTCCGTCAGTATGGATTACAGCACACGTGTTGCCTCTGTGGCACCCTTTAGTGTCAGCTCATCACACCACTTTTTCTGTATTGCAAGATCAATCATCTGTTCAAACACTTGGAAGCAAACACGGTTTCATCCAAGGTTATTCCAATTTTGATAATTTCATATAAATGATTTGATGACGGAGGTAAAGATGCTCATTACACTGCAGTACTACGTTGCTGTATTAACTACCTAGTATGCAGTAAGGGTGGCCAGATTGCCACTAGCACTGTTTTTATCAATAGCTGCTCACATTTGTTTCAAAACATTGGTACTTGCGTAGCGCGCGGCCAGCAGATCAAGTCCAGTCTACATCCAGAACATGGCCAAATGATAAATGTATTTGTAAATGAACTTTTCAGAAATTTGACACCAATTATTGGCCTATGGCAACCTCACATACAATTACAATTAGCAAAACATGCTACTGAGAATGAAAACATTTTGAATGTGTGTTTCATTGATGATATTCTAAAGCAAACCTCAATGACGAATAAATGAATTACCTCATCTCAGGCACAGCATTATTAACTCTTTTTTTTTACACGTCTGTTATTTTTTTTAATGTACCACTGTATTTTATTGTATTGTATGTACTGAGCTATACAGTGTTTGCTTCGGCACTATGCTGATAATATTAGCCAACTAAATTGTAATAACATCTAAAATGATTCCACCTAGAAAGTGGAATCTGAAAGGTTTATTGATGTTGCTGGCCCCTAATAAATAAATGAAAACATTAAAAAATTGGTGTTACAGTCAGAACATGGCAGCGCTTTGGCCGGGTACAGCTGACTGTTTTAGAAGCAAATAAAGATGTCTGACCGAACCGTCAATATGGCAAAGAAATCGGCAAATTGATTGAACCTACAAAGAACAACAAGAATAAGGAAGACCTGAGAGAAGTATCCCGCCCTGTTAGAGCAGGACAAAAAGCAATAAACGTACGTATGTATGATATACATGTCACATTTTGTTAAAAATCTGACATATAACTGCATAGTATTTGAATCCCTTTAAAATATATAGAGATGGCAACCATATGTTCAGCAGCCATGAGTGGTTGAAAGCAAGTTTTGAGCCAAGCTTAGACTGAGCCTTTTCTGGCCGACAGACAAGTAGGAAGCAATATACTTTACATTTGTCATTTTGTTGGAATATAGAGAGCATGAAGGCAGACTTAGCTTAACAGACATAAAATCTAAATTGATTAACACAATAGGGAACCAACACAAATGTATCCAAGATGATGGTGCTGGTATCTGAATATGATGAGCCCTGAACATTAAGTGTTATAAGGACAAGAGTCACTTAAAGGATCGGTTTCCTAAATCAAATCTTCTCACTCACCTGTGACGGTAAGTAGATCAATGCTTTTGACCTAAAACAGTCTAGAATTCTAAAAATGACAAAAAACCTCAGTGTAAACTGTTTTTTAACCAACAATGAGTCTTGATGATCAGAGTGTAGCAGAAGTAGTTCTACTAACATGTTGCTGAAAACACCAAAGTAACAAGCCTTCAGAAGTAAGGTGAAAATAAAGCAATAACTCAATGATTCCAACCCTCATTACCCAACATGAGACCTGTGTTCTCGACGTTATAGTTTACATCTGGTGACACAAAGCAGACGCTAAGCTGACGCCAACACATCGTCCCATTCCAAACACTGACAGATGTTCGAAAGAGAGTTTCGGAGGGCACTGGGCTAAAGGAGAGCATCCATCTTGGATCTACATCACAGGACTGTGTGGACCCTCTTGTGTGTGGACCTCTCCATCACGAGCATGTAAAAATACCCTCGCATCATCTTGTGTCTTCACACAGTGTGAGGTGAAGGAGCTTGGGCAATTACACTCATCTGCATGTGTTAATATGATTAATTAGCAGGAATAAACACTTTCCCATGTCACAGGCTACACGGTGAGCCACACCTGCAGAAGCTCTGATAAAAGACGACGCCTCATGGCGGAGCCTTTTCATGAGACCTGCTAATTGGCATCTGAAAGCGTTCCAGCTAATTAAGGAAAGGCAGATGAGGCTTGATTAGTTTGAATGCAAAGTGTAACTTGTGGTGCAGTGGGAGTCGGGAATGTGCCGAGGTTTTATTTCTTCACCCTCACGATACAAAGATAATTGTAATTGTGATCATTTGCATACGTTAATGAATTTGCGTGACGCTTCTTGATCAGACGTGAAATAAATAATTGATGCAGTATCAGCAACTACCATGACAGGTGGGATGTTTTGAAATAGCTAAGCGCACTAGAGGTGTGAGTTTCGTGCTCTGGGTAGAGGTGTGAAAGTAGAGCAGATTCTATCTTCCGCTTCATACCGCTGCGATCAACCGATCTGAGACGGGAAGTTTGTACTTCGCATTCAAAAGGCACCCGGTGTTCAGGAAAATCTTTTTCAGAAACTATGCAGTGGCAGAGAACAAAGAGCTAAGAGGGAAGTCAAACCAGAATGTGTTGGTAAATACATGAGATTGTTTCAAATGCCCTGGATGTAGAGAGGCCACTCCCCTTTAATTAATCCGCTTCCAGATTAGGGTTTATTAGATGCAGGCAGCCACGGGCCGGGCAGCCACGGGTTATGCCCCGAGTTCAGCCTCCCAGGAGCTCCAGCAGCACAGATACTGGGCTCGTCTTTAATTGCTTCTGTAAATGGTCAGAGCTCAAGCCCCCTAATTCCATTCCTGGGGGTAATCGGGCATGTTTTCACCATACAGGGCTAAAGAGCGAGAGATAAACAGTTCCATCTTGGTACCATACGACGCCCCTCTGCTGCCTCAAAGGCGCTTCAAAATGATCGCAGCCCGCTTCCAGACGTGTTACAGGAAAATCATTTTAATAGCATTTTGTTATGAACTCCACAATTTGTTTTTCCACACATTGAACAGGTATGTGATGAAGAAATCAAACAAAAACTTCACCAGATCTTTTCACTTCCTGTTCCAAGGGCGTCTGAAAAAGCAGCAACATTAACATTTTTACATTTGTGTTTAAAAAGTCTCTGGGTTTGAATCTCACTTTAAGTTTTCCCCAAGACTGAACAATTCCGTACCATTTTATAGCTCTTCCTCATGTGTGAGTGTTAACATACACTAGAGAGAGATCAAGAGTCCATTAGAAACACTCGGGACGGTCACTGTACGCCGGCCCGTCTCACGTCCATTCAAGCATCCGTCGGTCCCTCTTCCAGGTGGTACACCTTCATCCTCATTGATTTACCACAGCCTTCGCTTGGTCCCCAAGACGCCTTTAGCCAGTTAAGTCCACTCGTACTGAAAATCTTTGATGATGCACACATACCACTTTAACTGGAGGACATAACATGAATGTAGTTTTGTACGCGGCATTTAGTCTCTGATATGCTGACGGACCGGGATCTTGGTGAGAAACTGCGTCCTCCCTCGGGAGGAGAAGCCAGGCAGTGATGAAAAATCCACGACAACAAGTACAGAAGCAGGAGAAGCGTGGAGGTCAGGGTGAGAGTGTGAGGCGCGTTACTTCTGCCACTCAGCATACCTGCAGATGACAGAGAGACACGGGTCAGGACATAGTATCCCAATGTAGTTGGTCCATATGGATCCAGTTCCAAACGGGCCCCGACATTACAGCACTTACTCCTGTGTACATTCCACCACAGCCATGAACTTCTGTCATCTATTCTTTGTAAGGTTGGTTTCTTTTGCAGACTCTGACAATAGTCATATACCTTGTTTTTGTCATTCATAAAAGCATGGCCTATATGCAGCCACCAGCACAGGCTGGATTCACATGTTGAGTTATTCACTTTACAGCACTGCAATAGCGTTACACGAATAAGCATTCACCTTCTGGTCTGCCAGCACAGAGCTGCTCTGAAGAGGAGGCAGGTGGCTGTTGAGCAGGACAGCGCCGGGTCTGTCGTGCTCACAGAAGATTGTACTGTTGATGTAGTGAAAGCGATCCCCGGGCATCAGTCGGTTTCTGCAGGTGGCACAGCTGAAACACTGCAGAGAACACAAATAAACTCAAATGGATCAAACTCAGGCCACTACAACACATTGACTTATTGTGAGCATGATACGAAGCGTGCAAAACTAGATGTGCAAAACTGAAACTAACAGACATATTGGACTACAGTCCAATATGTCAAAAAAACAGTTTTTTTAAACAGTGTCTTCATTCTCTCCTTCCCTCCGCTGTTTCCACCAGATTCCAGAGGTTTCTGTCAAGCGAGCCGCGGGGGGGCAAAGTGTGCTGATGTGAGAGCTGGGGACTTACCTTGAGGTGGTAAACATTCCCCTGCGCCCTCATCACCATCTCATTGGCGGGGATCGACTGTCCGCAGGCGCTGCACGCCCCGCTGTGCCCGAACAGCCTGCAAACACAAAGGCACAGATTTCTCCGTCTGTGCAGCCTCGCAAACCGGCAGCTTCCTCTCCTCCTCCTTCTTCTCACCTGATGTAGTCGCTCCGACACAGAATCATGCCCCCTTTGCTGTAGCAGGTGGTGCCAATGTCCCCCAACTGGGCTTGGCAGCAGGAGCACTTGAGGCAGCGCGTGTGCCAGTAGCGCTCCATGGAGAAGAGCAGGAAGCGGTCTGCGATCTTGCCCCCGCACCCTGCACAGGCCCTGGGGGCTGGCGCGACGCCCGACGCCTGGCTGTTCACCATGCCGATGTGGGCCCTCAGAGGCCCCCTGGGCACACAGTGGTGGAAAGAAGGAGATTCCTGGTCAAATGTCTGAAACAACGCTGCATTTATTTCTGTTTCCTTTGGTGAATGATACCATTGCAATAATGTATTTATGACACTTGCACCTGCTCCGACAAAGCCGGCAGCAGGACGAGTGTGGCCGATTGTTACACGATGACACACAAAAACATCTGTACACACAGCATGTGATCAACCGAATAAAAGGCTCCATTCTTAACTAGAATTGGACCACAGCTCTTATTTATGTAGCACAGGCAATAGGTTATTTTGACTTTAAGTTCACAGGACTAACAGCGGGTTTCTGATTAGCAGTATTGTGTTTTAACATGCAGTACCACTCCTGACGTGGTGAAGTAGAGTGTCAGTCAGTTAAGCTGGACTCACGTCACTAGGGGGACGTGTCCCACAGCTGCAACGAGGACAAACATGTTACCTTCACGAGCCCTGTTAAGGCTTGTCCTCCCGGGTGAAGTTTTCGTAAAAGGATACAGAGTCCAAAGAAGCTCCTCACGCGCACAGCTCACATGTCCTGCTCTCCATGGCTCAGGGCAACGCGACACCGAGCCCGGGACGGACGGAAATAGTTGGACAAACTCTCACCGACGTCCAGCTCCGAAGCAGCGTTACATGTAGCCGTGAGGAGGAGACATGGCGCAGCTCCTCTTCCTCCCCGTTAGCGCCGAGCATCCATCAACGTACCCGCATCTGCTCCTGACAGCGACTCTATTCATCAAATTGCGCAAGGAGCTTTTAAACGACCAAGAGGGGACGGAACCGACAAGCAGCGAGCAGCAGCCAATAGGAGAGCCGGGGGGCGTGTCCTCGCTCACAATGATTTATGGCTTTGTAGTGGCTTGTTAGTACGTAATGTTACATCGGAGTGTGTACGCGGTGCAGACATGAACTGCTGTAGTGTTTCTTATGCTGTACCTCATCTCGTTGATTCTCAGTCCGAGGTGGTTAGAGGAACTATATAGGTCATCTGAAATCAACATTAGCACATATCATTTAAAAAAAAGTCCAATTTACATGCAGCCATGTTTCAGTAGCAGGTTTAAAATTGTAGAATTTCCTGTCACTTTCGCTTTCCTGTTCAGGCCATGCATACAGTGGAGTTTGTGTTTAGTTATCCTTCTAGGTGTGACAATAAACTGGTTTTGATCATTTTTATATCACTACAATCTTAGCTATTCATGCCCTAGCAATAAAACCAGAATAGTATGGATAATTTCTTCCTATTGTCTCAGTAGGTGGCAGGCCTACTCAACGCTACACCAGGCTGTACTTCCAGCTGACAACCAGTAGAGGGCTGCATTCTATAATAATGCAACAAGCCCTCAATGGTAAGTGGCCATTGTTCGTCCTGGTGATTGTGGTGAGATATGACGAATTAGAGAAAATCCAAATGGACCAGGAACAGCACACTGTCTCAAAGGATCAGCTTTATTGTCATAATCGTAACTGGGCTTGCCAACTGGGCTAAATGTTTTTGTGCAGGGCTTTGGGGGGCAACAATGCCAGCTGGGGAAATCACACATGGGGAAATATTGGTTTAACAATCTTGAGATAATTGTTTAAGGCTAATGAGTCATTGAGATTCAGGCAGAAACGTGAATTGTAAAACATAAAGGCTTCATTAAAGAATGAAGGTTGTGAGGTTGGTAGGAACAGGGGCTGCAAAGATGGACATAATGGACAAAGAGAAATCTTTATAAATGGTAAAAGAGCAGCAGGTGAACCTACAGATGACTGGATGGATTAACTGAGCTCACTATGCTGCATAACACCACAAATAAAGATTTTGGCTATTACCAACTAACCAATGGGGGTACATATTCAGTCACACAGAAATATGACATGGAATAAAAATAAAAATGTTAAACAATTTTTCAGTCCACAAAACATTCTGGCAAGCAAGGCGACTGAACTCCATACAACTGTACATATCTTTAAAGGGGTCGAGGCCTTTTAACTGCTGCCCTCAATTAAGTGAAACACTACACTTATCTGAGAGAGTCAACCAGTGATGGTTGATTCTGGTTCCCAAATAAGGAACTGTGCAAAGATTATTTCCTCTGGAAATAATGTCTGCATGGCATTACACTTACTGTTTCACACAGTGTGGCAGCTTCATTTTTCTAACCCATGTTTTTTTACATTTTGCCCGGGTAGTAATTAGGGGTAACAGCATGACAGTAGCTATTGTCCTTTGTGCCAGTGTTTGCACCTCTGTGAAGCCTCATACAGAACTGGACTCTTTAAGGAATTGTTGAGGGGGGGTTTCCTCTGCTTTGGCGAGTGTGGCATCCTCTTTCCACCACTCCCCGAGGCCCTGTGGATTTCCTGTTACTCCGTCAATGCCATGCTGAAAGTCACAGCTCTCTGTGAGACTGGGCAACACCTGTAGCTTCCAGTTGGGCTTCCCAGCCAATACAAACCGCTGTGGGGCATGATCAATGACAAAATAATCCCATTTATGAAGCTCATAAATGAAGCTTTCAGCGTCATGTGGAGAGATCCTTCCATCTGTGGCGCTATTCTCGGAGTTAAAGCACCTCAGTATCATCGGAGTTTTGTGGTATTTTCTTAGAAATGATTCATCCTAAATGCTTGATAATTAGTCAGTCCAGAGGTAAGGCATTGTCACTTATTTTTGGAAATTAATAACGAATTGAGATTATTTATAGCAATGAAAGTTGAAGACTCCTCATCACTCTTTAGTTTTCAATTATTACTTAACAGAATAGCTTGTAATGTAATGTTCACACTGCCACCTTGTCGAACACCTAAAAGTTTCTGTATATGGCAGTTATATCTAAAGTGAATTAAATTTAAACTATGACACCCTACGAACTCCTCGAGCATCAGTGTTGCAAATCTGTCAGCTTGAAGTCACCCTTCAGCCTGACGTACACACCAAAACACATACAAAAACTTGCCGCTACATCTGCCAGCAGCAGCTGATCTCTCTGGTCCTGAATGCAATAGATCCCTCAAAAAAGGTCAGTAACAGGAGCAGTTTATCAAAACATTCACTGAACATGCAGAAAAATAATTTTTACTTTAGGAAGATGACAAAGGCTCTCAAAATCAAATCTACTCCTCCCCGTAGGAATTTTCTGTTGGCATTGAAACAGTGCAGTCAAAAATACTAGGTTATCTAACCTTTTGTGCAAAGATACCCAGCCCTATTTCATTACATTACATTACATTACATGTCATTTAGCTGACGCTTTTATCCAAAGCGACGTACAATAAGTGCGTTCAACCATAGGGTACAAACTCAGGAGAACAAGAAACAAGAAAGTGCCATTTCCTCAAATAAGCCAATTTATAATTTGCTATAGATGAGTGACGTTACAAGTACAATTTAAGTGCTACACTTTGTTAGTCTTTAGTCGAGGTAGAGTCTGAAGAGGTGTGTCTTTAGTTTGCGGCGGAAGATGTGAAGGCTCTCTGCGGTCCTGGTGTCTTCAGAGAGCTCGTTCCACCATTTCGGCGCAAGGACAGCAAAGAGTCGAGACCTAGTCGAGTGTTTTGCTCTCAGTGAGGGAGGGACGAGTAGTTTTGCAGAAGGAGAGCGGAGAGTACGGGTTGGGATGTAGGGTTTGACCATGTCCTGGATGTAAGCTGGACCCGATCCATTCACAGCATGGTACGTGAGCACCAGTGTTTTGAACTGGATGCGGGCGGCCACCGGTAGCCAGTGAAGAGAGCGGAGGAGTGGAGTAGTGTGGGAGAATTTCGGAAGGTTGAAGACCAGTCGAGCTGCTGCATTCTGAATGAGCTGCAGAGGTCGAATGGCGGTGGCAGGGAGACCAGCCAGGAGGGAGTTGCAGTAGTCCAGGCGGGAGATGACAAGAGCCTGAATCAGTACCTGAGCAGCCTTCTGAGTGAGAAGGGGACTCTCCTGATGTTGTAGAGCGTGTATCTACAGGATCGCGTTGTCGCGGTGATGTTGGGAGTCAGGGAGAGTTGGCTGTCGAGTGTGACGCCGAGGTTCTTAGCAGTCGAAGTGGGCGTTAGTACGGAGTTCCCAAAGTTGACTGTCAGGTCCTGGGTAAGCGAATCTTTTCAGAGGAATTTCAGAGGAAACCATCTTCATAAAGAAAGAAGTGGCATCCATTTGAGAGTACCCCAACCTTCTCCATTTACTCCATCCCTTTTTTGTCTCCAGCAGCTGCCTTTTAGAGGCAATCACGGTGGAAAATGTCTTGTTTTGTTCTCATCTTTTAATGTTTACAATGACGAGCGCATTTGGCCACATGCATCTGAGGAAAAGTGCAGCATCCCCGTATTTTTCTCACAGCTCCACCTTTTTTATGTGGGTGCTTCTTTGCGATTCCAGTTGAAATGCTCTCTATTTTTCTAAAAAGCGCTTATGAAGTCATTATAGGAACCGGAGAAGAAGTCTTTTCCATGTCGCTCTGTTCCGTCCTTGAAGCAAAAAAAGTGAAGCAACCATTTTGTGGGGGCAGATGGGCCGGGCAACACTGAATGTTGCTGATTATTTTTTTACTTTTAGTACCGTACGCGTTGTCTCTCTTTTCTCCGATGCAAAGGTTGTCAGATTGGGTGCTCGTTTATACAAATACAACGCAGACATCCTGCAATTGATGCTAAATGTCTATTTTTAATGCTTCTTTGCAGATTGTGAAGCAGAATCTGGATTCTAACATCTTTAACAGCAGCATCTTCTGATACAAGTCCAATGAATTATTCATTTCCACTTGCATAGTCTTTTCAAAATAAACTTAAGTCTTCACAGGAAACAACATAGTGCCCTTGATTAGGTTTAGGAATAGATTATGAAACAAATAGTTAAATAACCGGTTTTGGGGTTTAAACCACTATAGGGCCATTACTAAAGTAACCTAGGTATGGGACAAATTAATCAAACTTGCATGATAAAAAATACAACTTTAGTCTGTGAGAAGATTTTATTGTTCCCTGAAGCAATGTAAGTATCAGAATGGATTCAGAAGTGTTTTCGGAGTAGGTATGTATGCTGCAAAGCTGCATATACCCAGCAATACAACACTGCTTAGATGACAAGCTAAACTGTGGAGTCGAGCAGCTGAACAAAGCCACAGCTGTCACGGATTGGGTTCATGTCCGGTTTTATTTTGTAGTTTTTTGCCTCTTGTCTCCCTGGGTAACGTCACTTCCTGCCTTGTCCTGTCCTCCCCTGTGATTGTCTGTGTGTCATGATTGTTTCCACCTGTTTCCAATCACCTGCACCTCCCTAGTGTATTTAAGCTATATTTGTCTCCTGTCACTTGTGTCATTGTTAATTGTTCGAAAGTCCATGTCCATGTCCATGTCTCCTGTTCCCGGACTACGTTTTTTCCTCTTTGGAAATTTGAGTTCTGGATTTTTTTTGTTTCCTGCAAACTCTGCGTCTGAGTCATACCTTCCCCAACGTACCTTCCTGACAACAGCTTTCTTTTCCCTTCCCCCCAGCTGAACGTGACAATTCAAAAGAATCAACTGGCTTGGGGTTAAAATGAAAATTATTTTAATAACAAACAGAAGCAATACAATTACAAAGTGTAATACGACATGAATAGGGTAATATCTAATATGACCATCAATAATAGTTCTCAGGAGGAGTCTCTCTGCCTCTTTTCCAGCAGAGACCTTCTAATCTTGTTGGAGGTGTATGTGGTTGGTTGCACATTGAAACGTAGCTCCTTCCAGGTTGTTTTCCCTTTCTGCCTCCAGCCATTCCATAATTCTCTCCCCAGGCTTCATCTGAGGGCTGGATCTGAAATCCCTCACTGCCCCACCAATCCCTATTAACTTAATATTACAATACATTTAATGATCATACCTTTGGCGTAAAGCTTCTTCATGGAAACACAACATATTATGTGTAATATTATCAACATCCAATAGCCAATACACTCTAGTTATAATACGTCTTAAATAAGCACAGTTCATCACATTTTAACCATTATTTCTAACTAATTTTAAATGGTCCAAAATCAAACAATAGCCTCGCAGGGCAGTCCTACATCCTTTGCTCTTAAGCGGCTTGACGGGAGAAAAATCTTCCAAAAAAAAACTTCATTAGAGAGAAATATAAAAATATCAATATTGAAGAAACCTCAAGAAAGGTTTAAGTGTTCTTCCTCCAGGCTTCAACTTTACATTGCGACTGGATGTCATGTGTACCGTAATTAAATTACATAAATTACTATATTTTGTGTTTAATTCATATTGCAGTTATTAATCTGACATTCTGATGTAATAAATAATATCAAGTAACACGCAAACTACTATTCTAACACTAAACATTATCACATATATTATAATTCCCACCGCTAGGCGTGCTCTCCTGCTAAAATAATCTAATCTTAATCTCCTGAGTCTAACTAAAACTAGCGAGCCAAATCCCAAGATTACCATATATTACATTACATACATCTTGTCAAATCGTTCTTTAAGGTGGAACACATGATTGATGCTTCACCGTGTTATTGGAGCGTTGAAGAAAGTTGAGATCAGCTCAACTTCTATTGGTAGTAAGACACGCCCAGTACACCAATGCTTTAGTTTGTAGCTTCATGTCAATGGCCTCAGTTGCAAACGTGTATAATATTACAGTGTTGTTCATAGTGCATTACAGCATAATAGTCATGTTTCAGGTCTCCCCATGAAGGTTTTCAGGGACACTGCTTCATAAATCCAATCTAAGATAACAAAATTGAACACAAAATCCAATTCTCAACTCAAATACTGCAACAAATGAACCTCTCTGGCAGCAGCATTCAGTTATTACCCCAAAGATAAACTCCAGAAGACATTCAAATCAACAGAAATATTTTCCTAATACCTGATTCTCAATGTGCCTTTAACTTCACTTAAATTACATTACATTACATGTCATTTAGCTGACGCTTTTATCCAAAGCGACGTACAATAAGTGCATTCAACCATAGGGTACAAACTCAAATGCCACAATAACAAATGTTGTTATGGGACACACGCTTTTGTGTACAACAACTCAAGAACGACAATTTCCTTAAATTTACACCAATCAAACAGTTGAAGCTGACAAACAACGTCATGAAGGGTAATGTTAAGCGATCGGAGGTCCTTGGGACCATCAGTGACAACAGCAGATGGTGGGGAAGTCTCCATGGTCACATGGTTTGTCATGTTTGCTTTATGGTTCTTTCCTTTCGGTCGGCCGGTGAAAGAATTCCACCTTGTTTGAAAAATGACGATTCAGTTATAGTAATATTTGATCAGTATAGCTGAGACACTATTCAGTTTGAGTTCGTACCCCCATGATGGAAGGCAAAAGTAGGTTTTTGTCTCGTATGTTATCTGAGATGTGGTTTCATGGACGAGCAGGTGAACACGCACAGACACACATTTGTGTCCACCTGATTCACTTGAGTAAAAAATCTCTCTAGTTCGGTTTCCAAAAAGACAAAAATATTTCTCTAGCTGCTAAATGTTCTACTTTATTATACTTTTCACCAGCTAGTCACAAAGTCTGCCCATCTGTGCTTTGGTTGCTGAGCAGGAAGTGTCACAGTGGAATTTTCAGAGCTGTTTTTACTGAAGACCGCTGCCTTTTGCTGCAACCAGCAGCTTGTGTACGCACTCGGCCTAATGGAACACGGCACTATTGCAAAGGTTAACCCACAACGAGGTGGGTAGGCTCAGGCCGAGCTCACAAGAAAATGTCACATGTAAAAAGTAGCAACACAGCGTTCTGAGTGAATTATTTTGAATTTACAAAAACATTGTGTTTAATAATCCGTCATTTCTTTCCCTTTCTCTGTCTCCCTCAAACACACTTAAACTGGAGCTTGAGTCCACTCGACTTTGTTCTTGTGTCGGACCTCAGTTCGGGGAAATATGTTACTACGATGCCAAAAGTTTAGTGGTTCGGTAGAGTTGTCAAGATTGATTTATATATTTACAGAGGGATAATAAAAAATACCGACCACTACACATTGAGATACAAATATGATGCCAAAACATCCATTGTTGATGTAAATAAAACATTTCGGTTGTTTCTATGTTATTGTGTTGTGTTGTTACTCACACCAAAACCAGCGGCTCCCTATAGGTAGCGGATTGGTCCGGAGAGAAACACATTCCCTGAAGCCCGACGAGATCGATTTACATGTGACCTTGTGGAAGTGCAATATCTGAAATGCCTTTCGATAGATTCAATTCAATAATTAACATTAACCGAAAATATAAGATATCATTTTATTTGCAGGAAATGTGTAACTTAAATACATGTGTCTTAAATACATAGCATTATTTCAAAATAAAACACTGTGTGTACAGAGTGAGGACACACAAAAATAAAATATAAAATCACACCACGAAAAATGAGGTGATCCTAGTATTTACAGCTCCACAACTAAGGGGGAAGTCCACAACCACTGTTTTTTCTCAATATACTGTAGTAACATAATGAGCACATTCTCTGGAACATTACATGTCATTTAGCTTTCATCCAAAGTAACTTACATTGCAATTTTTAACACATGTTTTATTTACATTTTGCCCAGGGAGGAATTGCGAGTAACATGTGAACACCTTTCACATGTTACGTTTGTCATCCTTCAGACATATGCACATTAAAACACACATACTCATACACAAACTCACACTCACACAATCAATACCACGATCGGTCCATGGTTACGATAAAGGAAAGGAAATTAAGAACACATAGCTCCTATAGTCGTTAATATTTTGTATAGTTATTTCTCATTATTCAAAATGCCTGTCCATCATTTTCCATCACATCTGTATTACTGGTTAACTGCATTTAAACTTAACTGAAAAACAACTTTCTGCAGTGTCATGTCCTCAGTGCTGCCCTGCACACGAGAAGTAACACAAGTGTGAACAGACTGATGTGCTGGTAGCAGGACGCTTAAAGTGCAAGCGAGTGTAAAGCCTAGTCAGCGAGGGGGCGGGGATGGGGGGGGGGGGCAAAGGAGACTGCCTCAGCGCCTGAAGGTGTGGATGTCATTGTGGAGGCTAACCGAGGGGCTGGAAGGCCCGCTGTGAACGTGACAGCTTCTATTGCAGCTGCAGCGCTGTATCCACATGACCTTTCTGTAGAAGCCCTCTCCGTCGGGGCAGTGGAAGCGGAGCGTCACAGTGCGGGAGACGGAGGGCGTGCAGCAGCGGCCGTCGCTGCAAGTCCCACAGGTACGAGGGCGGTACCGCTGTGGGGTCGAGCATCCGGCGAAGGTGATCCTGACTGGTTCCTGGGGGCGGAATGTTCGCTGACACTTCTTCCCCTTCTGGATGGGAGCAACAGAGCCGCCAAAATGGTCTCATTACATTTTCATCAAGAAACTGTGCAGTATTAAATTATGGAATTATTCGTTTACTCAGAAGACTTACAGTAGGCTACAAACATCTTACTTTGTAATGTTGCCTCATATTCCACCAATATTGTATGGTCATATTTAATGTTTTCCTTGCAGGTGTGTTTCGTAGCGTACCTTGCTAGCTGCAGGAGGCTGCAGCTCACATTGGCGTATCTGGCACAGCCTGGTTTCTCTGAGCAGTCGACAGTCGGGGTGGTCATTGCTCACTCGACTTGAAATTCCCATCCCACACGTGGTGGAACACTCGGTCCACTCGGTGGTTTGTGCGAAACAGCTGGATTTGTGTAACATCGTAGACACGGGGAAGGACGCCATCTCTGCGGTAAAGCCAGTAAACAAAGCCAATGAGTCATAATGAAACAATATATCCATGTGAGCTCTTACCCACTCGAGCATTGAGTGAGTTTGTAAAAAATACCCATAATCGTGATTTTGCAAGAAACTCTCGCGCCAGCAATGGAAGAACTCGAGTAGAGATGTCAGCTATTTATGCATGATATCTAAACAATCTCGCATTTTCATGGGAATAGCTGTGGACATGTTCCCCCTGTGCTGTGTGACACATCGCCATCTGAACTGTGGTGTCAATATCAGGCCAAAACTCTTCTACAAAATGTCAACACATACATGCTCCCCTGAGACTAAATCCTTTATTTGTTATATATAATTTCTCATTCTCATCTTTTTAAAAGAAATGCAAAAAAATATCTGCATAAAGTATAAAAAGTATATATTTGTAATTAGTAGGTAAACAAATTACACCAAAAGTTGATCTCTCTGAAACCAGTCACGATGGATTCCAAACCAATTTTTTTTACCAGGATTGCTTTAATCATGGTTATTTATTAATTATGATTAATTGTTAATCTGATCAGCACACCAACAATAATGAATGTCATTCAGATCTCACTTAGTGTTGGTGGTGGGCCTCAGGAGGAACTCACCTCCGCGCGGGACCCCCCCGGCAGCGGTTGGGTGCCGAGGCTGCGGCGGGGCCTGCAGCAGCCCATTGATGTGGTTAGGAAGGGACAGTCTGTCTGGCAGTGAGGTGTGTGTGAGGTCTTCTGGCTCCTCGCTGATGTGGTTGCTGTCGTCACACACCCATTCCTCGCAGCAGCCGCCCTCGGGCCTGGCCAGCCGGGGCCGCTGGCAGCGCCAGTAGGGCAGTGGCACTTGGCGAGGACAGAGGGGCATGCAGCCCACCACACCGTCCATACAGGTGCACTGGTGTTGGCAGTTGGGCTGGAAGTCCTCCCGATGCTGGTACACCCGCCCGCTGAACTCACAGGGCAAACCCTGGGCCTCAGCTTTCAGCAACACACACACACACAGACAAAGGGAGACATGAAGTGAAAAACCCACGCTCAACAGAAACACCATCTCAAATGAAACATCGTAATCATCGAACTGCACAAAGAATTATATCTATAAAATGAATATTTCATTATATTTGAATTCTTCATATCCACCCAAATGAGTGCTGCTTTACAAAAACATCAGGTGTTGCCTCAGAGGGCTATTCAGTCTGTACACATGTGACATCCTCAGTCCCAGACCCTCACATTGGCACAGGACCCCCCCCGCCTCCCTCCCAAAAATAAAAAGCTTAAGGAGAACTGCAGAAGAGGATTCCTCTGTCTGGGTGGACTAAGGTGTGAGAGATGTACAGAATGAACAACGTAAAAGATGTACAATACGCAAAGAAAATTCAGAAATAAATTAAATTGGTTGTTGTGTTATAATATCTTTATGTTGGTATGAAATGAATAGCTTGAAAAGTTTAAAAATGCGCCTCCGCTCACCTCTACACAGGCCTCTTTCAGGGTCTCCTCCGGCCCCCAGATGGCAGCGTAGCCCCTTGATGTGATCACAGGGCTTGGTGGCGCTGCAGTCCTCATTAAACTGCTTAGCACAAACCTTACAGCAGCCACAGTGGTCGGTCACCCAGCTGACGCCCGGCGGGCACGGCTGGGGCGAAGGGGGGCAGGAGCACTCAGCTGGGCATTCATTGTCAGCCTGAGGACCAGGGTCAGAGGTCAGGGCAGTGTGGATAAAAATGAAAAATCTCAAGAATGAAATTACAGTCCATCTACTTTTGCATATAATGACTGGATAATAGGACAACAGAAAGTAGTAACACAGAAAGTGTAAAAGCAAGTGTCACGTCAACTCACCATCACTGCAGCGCTGCAGAACACAAACAGGGTGGACATGATCTGCTGCATAGTAACAGGGCTAAGCATGCTGAACCGAAAGACTTAATGGATAGAGAAAATGATATTCCAAATTGAGGAAGATTATAGAAGTAAGAATTTTGAAATTGACCATCCGAGGTCTGGTGTGTCGCTTCCAGGGTAAAAACGGCTCCACAGTTCAGAGTCCGTGCACAGAGAGGTGAACCCGTCTGCTCTTGCTTGCTCTCCTTTAGAAACTTGTTGTTGGCCCAGCTCAGGTCTACTTCATAGAGAGGTTTCCCTGTGCAGGGCCTGTTCTTATAGACACACATGCCCCGCCCCCTCTGCCATATCATTACCTCCACGCTCAAGGCGGCTGGAGAGCGTCCAGAGGGAGTTGGTGTGAAATACTGTGTTATTGTGGACAGCTGACCCCAGGGAGGAATATCAAGGCGTCAGAATGTACGCAGGCTAAATGTCGCTAAGTTTCGTCATCAAGGGTGATTGGAATATCCAGGCAAACGATTGGTTTAAATGAAAACCTCCATCAAGGTTGAGTCTTTAACATGGGACACGGGGATGCGGAGAAAATCCCTGTGAATAAGTCCTTGACCAGCTCCGTCCTCTCCACTGCTGTGGTGCATGGTGCTCAGGACATCCTGTGTTCCCTCCATCTCTTCCCGATTGGGCCGCATTCCAGGAAATACAACCCGGTCCTCAGGTTCCCATGATTGGTAGGAAAAACTCTGCCTTTCCATTGTCATCCCACAGCGCCTGAGGTGTTTTGATGGACAGCAGGAAGGTCATGGAATTTAGCGATGGCTCACGCAGTCATGAAACATGCGAAAACTAATTTGGCAAATTTGATTACGCTGCTGAAGGTCTCCCCTTGCTCCCTGAGAAGCCTGTGAGTGATTATGCGTTACATCATTTCAGAAGAATTGACCAGCTGTGCTTTCTGTGGGACGAACTATAGTAAACAAGTATGTAGCAGTGAGTCTGGTAGGTCCACAAAGGCATCTGATAATTTCTGACATCAATGATATTTTACAAATAATCACAAAAAGGTCAAAGGTCCACCCAGTGGCTGTTGTGTTGCTTTTGATCACACCCTGGGAATGTCGATGATTTAGGGGCTTTATCTACATTATTGTAGCACCCACACCATCTGTTGAGGTAGATCATGTGTTGCGATATAAACCTGGGTGGAAACAGGTCAAGAATGACTTAAAATTTCACAATGATACAAATTATTTTGTAAATGAGTAAGCCTGTAATAATCCATCTAAGAAAAACAACCCCAAACAGGGGGAACTCCTCTCTGGGTTCTGCTCGTAACTCGGAGGTAGCCGTTACGTAGTGCGGCAAAACAAATTAACTCACAATTTATTTTAGTTCAGCAGTCTAAAGTCTGTCTGTTCCACCCTGTCTGTCATTGATGTGACTCGCTAGCTGTTTGCTTGTAGTGCTTAAAATTGAAAAACAATAAGTAGCTGCCCGCCCTTAAATCCCATGTTCCCATGCATTTCATTATTAGCCTACGTTTGGTGTATTTTTTACAGTAAAACATGATAGAAAGATTAAATGTTTTGGACTGATATCATTACCATGGGTAAAGGTGAGCACAAACCGGTTGAAAACTAAATCATGATCTACCAATCAGAGCCTTCATCTGGAAAATCTTCTGAAAGTGCTTGATTATGTTTTAGTTTGTTCACAAACACAAATGAGTGAAAACCAGTATTATTATTTCACAAAAAGGACAGGAACACATTGTTTTTAGGTTCACATGGCTTGTGAGGCCTTGTGGGCTGCGTAACTGGTTAGACAATGGCCCACAGAACCTGCTGCAAAGGTCCAACTGGCCTCTGACCTGCAGGTCGCAAACCTCACAGGTTGAGGTCAAAAGTGTGCCCCGGCCTACCAGTAACCACACCGAGCAGGGATGTCACAGTGTACTGGCACACCCTTGAGTACACATCTACATCAGTGCAGCACAGTGTGTGGAGCTAAACGAATAAACAAGACTTTAATTTACTGTTGAGTTGCTTTTTAAACCTGCAATCAGTGTTTTTGGACGCTTCCAGTGGAATACTCGTTGCTGAAGTTTATTAGGAGAATTGTATGCTTTAGAGGGCCAAAAAAGGTGTTGTAACTATTATCACCTTCAAAATAGGTTGAAGATACAGTAGTTACACTACACTTTTAGGCACATATGTCACATATGCCAGAAATCAATCATCAATCAAAGTGGCCAGCATCTGGCCCGAACCTGAAATGAGTTTGACACCCTGCTCTACACCATTAAAGAGGTAGATGAACAAATAATCATCAAACCTGTGGCTTTTAGGTTGACACTTGGTCCAACAACACACAGCTTTGCCTGAAAGCAGGTGCTGTAGCTCTGTGATGTTACTGTTTGCAGAAAAAACCCGCCAGGCACCCAGTCGGCTCGCTCCGAAACCACTGGGACACTCGAGTGGGGGGAGATGGGGGCTGAGAGGGAGGTCGGGGGAGAGCACCTTGTTGGGCAGCAGTCTGGATTCTTAGAATTCCTGGCCCACAAAGGCAGGATGTGTGCACTGGCCACGCTGGGTCGGACACTGATGGAGGAGCGGGGGGAGAAGGGAGTTGCACGGGGGTGCAGGGGTTGCCAGTTTGGCAGCCTCCTGTCTGGCTACGTGCCAACCATTGTTTGTCAGCCAGGCAAACATTTCTAAAACACATGAAGGTCAGGATTCGTCACGCAGCTCTCAGCTATCTGACACCATCCACCAGCCGGCCTGATAAACATTCTTCATACTGAATACTAACAACAATCTGCAACTACAGACGTTACCAGACTCCTTTTCACTGGGAGCTCTCCTTTAAATGTAGCAAAGGAAATGCCAAATCCTGCTAAACAACGCTCCCTCATAGCAATGCAACCCTTTAGCAAAGGTTAGGGAAGTCTAGTAGACATTAGAAGGCTTGTGAATGAAGTCACTGGTTTTTGACTGTCCATAAAGTTTCAAGATGGTGTCATAGCCCACATTGCACAATCAGCAGAGGACACCGACTTTCTTCTCACAATGCCTGCTATGAAGTCTTATTTAGTTCATTATTTACACTGAACCCTGACTAGGTGCTGGGGATAAATAATGAATCATTTCACTGGGGCCCGAGGGGAGAGGAGCCCTGTAGATGTGTTGGGCAGAGGACAGTTCCTTGCATCTATAAAGAAAGACAGGCAAATACAATTTGGAAATGAGAAATGTAAGGCTGTCCTTCTCTGAAATGATAACCAGACGCAGTAACAACACACACACATGTTATTGGCTAACAAAACCCTCCAGAGTCAGTGGCTGCAGAGCTCCAATCCACTTCGGCATGCAATCAATCTGCCTCATATTTTACAGACAAAAGTCTGAAAATCAGACAAGCAGTAAGTGTCTCCACAACAAGCACGTGCTTCCCCCATTTCTAAATAAATAATAGTAACTAATATTGACATGGTGAATTGGTGTCACTTCATATTTCTTTCCAAAACTCAGTTGCTTCTTTATTCTTTCGTAATTTCACTTCCGTTTCAACTTGGAAGGGCCGTTACTAAGCCTGAGTCCGCTACTGTGCATTGAGTAAATGTACATGTGTTCAGTGTGGAATCAGCTGCACACACGTGTGTGTGTGTGTGTGTGTGTGTATGTGTGGGAGGGGGGGACTTGCTCCTCCAGCCGCTATATATCTGCCACATTCCTCATGCTGGTGTCCTTAGAAAGCTGCTTGTCCCCTGCAGTCATCACTCATCCCACATACCAACCTCACTGTACACACTGACCACCAGCTCAGTATTGGAACTCGAAGACGAGCGTAAGCAGATAAAGTCATGAGCTGCGCTGCGGTTGGACGCCCACGACTGTCTGCTCATCGCCTCTCATTCCAAGTTTAGTTTTCCGTCATCATGGTCATTTTCAATTGCCATTGCTGTTTTCTTTTTTGGCCGTTTCACACAAAATGTTTGGATTGATTTTCCAGTCTGCAATCTCAATTTGGCATCACTTCACAATGTATTCTGACAACAAATGCACTTATTGCTACAAACGCCGCTGTCTAAAAAATTTTCTCCTCCTGTTTTAACATATAAATGTCGGTTTGATAAAGTCCCCTAAAAACGCAACACAAGCACTAAATAATAATAATAATAGATAAGTAAAAATGTCTCGATGGGCCCCGTGTCAGCGTTTCCCCTCGTTACACACACACGTGTTTTCAAAATGAACTTCCACCTCCACAGAAAGATGGTAGAATCCTCCCAACTCCAACCAAGATACTATGTTGAGGTCATTCCTTTCATCTGCAGATATGGAACATCTTTCTGGTCTTATCAGGGGAGCCAAACATCCACACACTGTAGTTGTTCTGATGTCACATCTGCCATCTGCATTTTTGGTTTTCCTTCACAAACTCTGTGGACAGTACCCTATTTAACCCCATTGTTAAAAAACAAGATCTGAGACAATAAAAGATCCGAGACAATCATCACTGGGAGGGGGAGTAACGATGCTATAAGTTAAGTAAAGGTAAGTTAGAAGTTAAGTAAAGCTGTGGTTGCCAGAGTTCTAATAACCCCAGCTGCCAGTATTTTACCATATTTTCAACAGATTTCTCGTCAATCGTCAATCAATCAATCAATCGATCACACCGTAAATATAAAATCAGACTTGGCTGAAGAGGTCACACAACCCGGTGTAGTCTCACGCATACTTAATGTTCAGGATCAAAAGTGGGTAGTTCTGCTTGAGGACTCATATATTGAGTAGTTTGTGTTCAATGTGGACTGCAATGATCCTCTGCAGCCCAAAAACAGAAAGAAAGAGAAAGTTAGATTGATGCAGCAGTTCAGCATGATGCCTACATAGAGAAACATTCACTGCCTTCTGGTGATAAACTGAGCTCCAATGAGTGGAAGAAACGATAAATAATGAAATATAAAGAAAATATTTTCTATCAGGTTAAATTCTATTAACTAGACTAGCTGACACGAGAAGAATGTTTTTTATTTTATTTGCTTTGTTTTATTGCAAAAGTGATTCCCATATATATATATATATATATATATATATAAATACTCTGTTCTATATAGTCTATTTCTGTTGTGAGTACAATTGCTAGTGCAACTAACAGTGAAAAATGTATTTATTACAAGATAATAATAATTTACTGTGCTGATTGATTTTCCAAATCAAGTTAATACTTGATTCACACTTTCATAAAAAACAGTTGGAGTAGAAGTATATGAGATCTGAGTTCTGTTTGTTGATAATAAAGTGAGAATCCCAGATATAACGTTAAAAACTAAAATGATTCTGTGCATCTTTTAGGATTTGAGGATGAAGAAGCTGTTGGACCAGGACGATATTCCACAGCTGTAAGTGTGAAAAAGATCAAATAAAAATGATCCAGTTTGATCCAGTTTGATCCAAATAGCTATTTCCAGAGCTTTGGTTGGCTGCAAGGCCTCCAGCTGTTTGCATGGAGTGGGCTGGTCCTGCGGGTGGCGGCTGCAGGTGCGACCGTCCTGCAGCCACCATGATGCGAGCTGGCGGCTGCCCAGGCAGCAGACAGAGGGAAGCTGTGGGCCACACATTCCTCCCCAGCAGCTAATAGGAGTGATGACAGCAGGGAGCACAGAGCACCAATAACCTGGCATGAGCAGGTGTGCTGCAGCTACTGATGGACACATCCTGTCCTCAGAGAAGCTGCCCTGTGGCGTTATAGCAAACAAACGATTGTGTCCAGTCCCAGTGTTTCTCATCCCTGAAACAAGAATTGTTTCTTATATTCAAGAATTGAGAAGAATGTATCCCACACTACCCAGACCACAATGGATAGCTGACCAACACTAAAAGCTCTCTTTTAAGTTGAGTAGGATATTTTTTAATTTGTGTGTGAGAATTTAAGCAGAATAGAAGACAATCTATGGCGCCATGTTTTTAAACCAGTGACTGAAGGCCTCAAACTGAGATCATCTGAGATTTACAAATAACAATATGGCCATTAGGTGGAGTCACCCTCTTTAACAACTTGGAACATGGAAATGAAGAAACAGAACAACAGAACAACAGAACAAAAATATTATGAGATACAGAAGCATGACGGTATATTTGTATGAGAATACAATAGAAAACACAGCAGGAAGGAGCTGATGGTGATTTATGGACACGAACCATTCAGTCATTCTGAGGCCTTTTGAACATATTTAGTACAGAAGAATAAACAAACTGGTATTTCAAAGGTACTTTAGTGTGGGTGCTGGCAGTGTATCCAGCTGACAGAGAGTGTCCTGTTGGTGTAAAGGCGGAGGTGGCACCGCTACACACGGCTACACACTGCTACACACTGCTACACACTGCACCGCCTGTGATTCACCAGGGCAAATGTTGTCACAGCAAGGCCGTAAACAGAAAAGGTTCTAGCCGCTGGGACACAAACACTGAATATACTGCAATATACAGTAAATGGAAACGAGGTCACAGCACAGAAGGGATCGTACGTGTGGGGAAGACACTGGACCTTGATGAGGTCACCGGCTCGCCCTGACACACCATGGACACTATTCTGCGGGATGAAAAAGGACTGTTTGTGCTGATATTCAACGGGGACCGAGGTCTTTGATTCAAAGAGCTCTTTGATGTGAAAAGGCATGTTTACTTCAAGTGAACTGTCCAAACCAACCTGGGCAAACAGAACGCTTCATGATGCAAATGACGAGGTCATTCAGGGAGGTGAATCAGACCCCCCCCCTCTTTAAAAGCTCATTCAGCTGATACTTAATGGAAAATTCAACAAAATTAGCGTTTCTGGTTTTCTTTTGTTAGTTGAAGTTGTAATTATTTGTGGTAATGTGTTTATGTTAATGTTATATTATATTATTTGTCTTACATAAATGCTGTTACTGTTGTACGTAGCTACCATAACCGTTAGGACGAGTTACCATTCGCACACCGATAGAAGGAGCTATCATACCCATCAGGGCAGTTTATCATTCACACAGTGATGGGAGGAGCTACCATAACCATCAGGGCGGTTTATAATTCACACAGTGATGGGAGGAGCTACCATAACCATCAGGGCGGTTTATAATTCACACAGTGATGGGAGGAGCTACCATAACCATCAGGGCGGTTTATCATTCACACAGTGATGGGAGGAGCTACCATAACCATCAGGGCGGTTTATAATTCACACAGTGATGGGAGGAGCTACCATAACCATCAGGGCGGTTTATAATTCACACAGTGATGGGAGGAGCTACCATAACCATCAGGGCGGTTTATCATTCACACAGTGATGGGAGGAGCTACCATAACCATCAGGGCGGTTTATCATTCACACAGTGATGGGAGGAGCTACCATAACCATCAGGGCGGTTTATAATTCACACAGTGATGGGAGGAGCTACCATAACCATCAGGGCGGTTTATAATTCACACAGTGATGGGAGGAGCTACCATAACCCCTTTGGACAGGTCACCATTCACACAGCGCAGGAACATTGTTGGCTGTCCGTCCCAAGGACACAGCGACATGCACATCTGACGATGACCTGTGGCCCAAATAGTCCTACATACCTTCATGGGGAGCAGGTGCTCTTGTTTCTACTGTAGGCCAGAACGCAAAACTTCATATAATACACAACCACCGGGGTATGTTTGATATTGTATGAAGTGCTTTAACTCCAAATTTCAAAACGGATCATCTCTTTATGAGCCTGGAAGTGTGTGTGGGAGAATCGTTCTGACTCATGTTCTACTCAATGACACTTTTAGATAATCCTTGAGTGACATAATTTAAAATACAACCTGAACATTTAAAAGCTTCAGAAATCCTTTTACTAGATTTAGCATGACATCCAGTTTCAGTTTCATTAGTTTATGAGCAGCTGAGACTTGCAAAGGAAGTGACCACATGGGATGTATACATACCTAACGTTAGATCAAGCAAAGAGTGGTGTTTGTGATGCTATCAGAGGGGTCCGTGGAGGCCTCTTGCGTGTTATTGATGCAGAAACACGTGTACAGTGGACTTTTAAAATTGTGACTGACAATCTGAGAATACAGTCCTGAGTCAAATGAGGTCTGAAGAGAGGGTCGTCCTTTCTGAACGCTCTCTGGCTGCAGCGAATGTAGACTTTTACCCCACCAGGAGAGTCACACTAACGCTGCGTGACAATGCCACCTGGAGAAGAGGAAGCTTATGGAATGCGGTTTGGTGAATCGTGTTTGCAGCTTGTTAGGGGAAACTAAATTTGAAAGACTTCTCTTTCAAGTTTCCCAAGTAGAAGATTTCCCCTTCGTGTTGTACAGTTCATGGTGGGGCTCTTCTGTTGCTAGGCAACAGTGTAGTTTTATTAGTCTTGAACACCATCTGCTGGTCTCTGGCAGTCATCCGCAAAACTATATATTTTACAAACTAATACAAATTGATAAACTTGATAATGAGAAGAACCCCTTAAATTATAGTCTTCATTCATGGATGTATTTTTCAAAGGTTTCTTGAAATCACTGCAGACAAAAGAAAACTTAATTTTTACAGGCCGAGGGAACAATAAAGCCAAGACCATAATTTAAATGTCATTTATTTGATAGAAGGAATTTCATGTTAGCAAAATTCTGTCAAAGTTCTATTGTGAAAGCAGCGAGCTAATAACTAAAACAGGATTCCTGCTGACTCAACAGACTGATCCGCTACAGTGCAATGTAAAAACAGGGATTGACATCCACGAACAACAGAAAGCCTATCGTCAATCAAACGTATTTGTTTTGATTCATCTGAATTACAGGCTGGACTCGTCCCTGTGGCAGCAGCGTCTCTCTTCAGCCCGCTGTCTCCGTCCAATCAGGTTCACTTTGGCCCTCACTTCTCCACCAGACAGTATGAGGTTAGTTCAGCCAGTCCAAATCATTATCCTCCTCATCGTCATCACCAAAGAGAAGGGTAGGAGGGGGGCGCCCCTTCAAGCTCTGCATGCAAACCAAAGAGATGATTACACTTCACTTCACTTAAGCTGAAAACTACGCACAAGATAAGGGGGGAGATCATTCCTCACCATCTCATCCTCCTCCTCTTCCTCCTCGCTGGGTGCTGCAGGCCGCTTGGCAGGAGTTGTGATCGGGAAAAATGGCTCCTCTCCATTTTCCTCACCCACTCTCCCAGTCAGACTGAGAGAATAGACCAAAAGGGGGTGGTGAAAAGATACGGTAAAGACAAAAAGGAAAATGAGGTTGAAGCAAGCAGGAAGCGGCTGTCCAGACGGGTGGTTACTCTGCAGGAACCTCTGCATGCTTTAGTGCCCAACATGTTACAAGTGTTGTGAAGGGGAAGGAAACCTGCTTGATTCAAATCAACTTGTATAGGCCTATAAGACCGCATCTGACCTTTTCAAAATATTGAAAATGAATCCATTTCCGACTGTACATTTTAAAATGTTAAATGATAAGACTGTACTTGTGTATCTGTCTTCTAGTCTTCATACCACTCAAAGCTCTTTAATATTACATTGTTGTATCGTTCCCACACACTGATGGGAGGATCTACCATACACAGGAACATCTGCCCATCACTATCACACCCTGTGGACACAGCTACACGCGATTAGTGGGGTTAAGTGTCTTACCCAAAGACATGTCGACAACCGGATTAGAGCCAGAGTTACAGCCACCAAGTAACAGCTATTGTCGAGCCCTGGGCCTCAACATCTGGGGAGCCGGGGCGGGAACAACTCTCCAGGTCCATTGTGACATTTGGAAAGGAGTAATACGAGGCAGTGCTTCTCTTCCATTATAACCCTCCTTCCTTACCTACTACTTCTGACTGTTGATCACACACACAATCCATCTGGTCAAGCTTCAAGTAATGCATTTGTGTATGGACCAGCGTCCTGTGTGGAGCTCCTGGTAGCTATGGGCGTGGCGTAGGAGTGAGACAACACAAAGTGGCGACTGTTCATTCCAATCGACACTATTGGATGTATTGTAGTTTAGGAACTGGGTAGTATTTTTTTTTATTGAAAGAAGAGCAAGATGACACCACAGGCTCTCCGCCATCGAAAATACCTTTTTACTCTTTTGGTTAATGTTCGATTGACAAATGTTTTATCAACTACCCTCTCTGTCGTTTTCCAAACAGTTTCCAATGACAGCTTCTCAGACAGTTCTATGTACCAAACCATCCGGCTACTCAGGTTAGCCATTTCCCAGTAGCCCTGAAAGCTACAGCTATTCGCCCACTCAGAAAAATATAGACCCCCAAATGAACAACATCCAACCTCCCAGCTGGAAGTAAAGCCACCACAAAAAGGCAGAGAACTTTAAGAGATGGACCACACTCAGACGGCTCCTGATGATCACAGTATTGGGTCAAACTGAGCCTCTATCAGACTTTACTGACAGCGCGTATGAGGACAGAAACCGTTGACGCAGCACTCACCTTGTGTCCTCTCTTGAGCGGTTTGGGGGTGGAGGAGGGTTGGTAGGAGGTCCAAAGGCTTTCTGGGAAGCCCCATGCATTTCTTCTTCCTGGTCTCCATTTATTTCCAACACAGTTTCCTGTCCATCATCAGGTGGTTTTCCCTCCATAGAGACTTCAGACTCGGCAGTCTCCCGCAGGACTTCAGACTCGGCAGTCTCCCGCAGGACTTCAGACTCGGCAGTCTCCCGCAGGACTTCAGACTCGGCAGTCTCCCGCAGGACTTCAGACTCGGCAGTCTCCCGCAGGACTTCAGACTCGGCAGTCTCCCGCAGGACTTCAGACTCGGCAGTCTCCCGCAGGACTTCAGACTCGGCTGTCTCCCGCAGGACTTCAGACTCGGCTGTCTCCCGCAGGACTTCAGACTCAACAGTCTCTTCCGGCTTCGGTTCAGTGACCTCTAATGCTTCCGTCTGGCTTTGTGTCTTTGACTCAGTTAGTGTCTCCGTCTCCTTCTCTGCTGCTCCTTCCTGATCCATCTGGGTCTCACTGACAGGAACTGAATCGGCCTCATTGTGTTTTTCCTCTCTGACTCCTTTGTCACCATTCATATGTACATTGAGTACAGTCTCCTGTCTGCCTTTCACATCAGCACTTTCTTCTTCCTCGCTGTCCTTACTCTGTCTCGGTGAAGCTCTGTCAGTGCCAACCAGAAGCTGCAGGGTTACATTCTGGAATACAAATATCCATATGATTAAGGAAACGTCATTAAGGCATAAGAACGGCACTGGTGAGTATCACCCACTTAGTGAATACAATGACGTGTGTGAGTACAGTAGCTGAGTGTTACTGCCATCCAAATACTGCAGTTGGGCTCTGAGGAGAGACCACTGTACCTCTGGTTTGAAAGTGAACCTTTTACTCCGTTTGCTAGTTACTTGACCTGCCTGTAATCATCTTGAGAATTTCCTTTGAAATGTATAAGTCACTGATGGAAGCCCCTTGGGGGAGTATTATGACCTTGATCTATGTTCCTAAATTCCCGGTTTGTGGAAAAACACACCTGCAGTTACAGCTTATCACTATAAGAGCCTGGAACTTTGCATTATGGCTTTTGTTATCATTTGACCGGTTACATATCTAAATGGTGCAGTAAAATAATTGTGGTTCTACACCCAGGGGTGGTCAGCTATAACTGGGTTTTACTTATGTTATAAAAATCACAGAGTGTAATCATCAAGGCCTTCTCTGTTGGCTAAAACATCAAGAAATTATTTTTTCATTTGTATATTTTTTTTCTACAAAAATGTATTCCACAATTCGAGGTAGACTATTCTTCTAATTGTACTGCTTTTGGTTTGGGTGCCCTGCTTTCAGCCTCAGGTCAGGATTTGGGGGCAGTTAGAGCTTTTATCGAACCACACTTTAGCCGCTATGTGTTATAGAGTCCTTGAGAACCAACAAAGTGGGCACCTGCAGCTTAAAGTGAATGGAAACCCAACAACCTCAGCATGTGCACTCCTTTGGATACATAGTAGACAAAGCAGAGCCATGCAGAGCTGGCAAACTGAACCTGAAGACTGTGTGGCGACCCAAACGAGCTCATTTATGGCATCATAATGGTGGTTTTTAGAGGTGGAGGGAAGACCGTGTAGAACATCACTGAAGGCCTGGGTGCACACATTCCCTCTGTTTAGTATTTAGACTGATGCCCCCGTGTGTAGAAGACACTTACCTTAATAGTTGTGACTATCAGCCCCAGCACAGCCTGCCCACTGTAAGATTCTGCGAGGTCAAACTCCGCCCGCAGAGAGTGAAACACTCCGTTCATCACACGCTTCACCTGCAGGTACACACATACCCCACCTTCATCACATACTAGTCTTCTTCCCGTTGAGTTCTGACTGCACATTTGTTTTGAATGCAGACTTTCATAAAGCAGATTTGTGGGGGGGGTTTTGGTCTGAGAATATGAGGAATGCTTTCGGAAAACAATGTGAATACAATTGAGACGGCCTGTATGGTCTCGTGTTCATGCTTGCCCTTTATGGCGCTGTTGCCTTTACAGTGTACAGTGGCTCTGATGCCCTTGCCTCCCAGCTCAAATGTCAAACTCCTACGATGGGTTTAAAACATGCATCGCATTACACTGTCCCCATCCTGCCCACCTGTGTTGTAATATAACTGTAGTGGGACAGTTATCAGGTAACGCTGTTATTCTATACAGCTTTACAACAGTTAAAAGCAGAAGGTCATGTGGTGCCCCTGTAGCTTCTCCTAATGTAGACAGCTGGGGTGGAGCTGGTGTATGACACATGCTCAGTGTGAAGTGGGCTGGAGCTGCCAGAGAGTTGCTGTGTCCGTGCTCATGGATGACCACTCACCTCGGCTGCAGTGTCTCCTGAACTCTCCTGCTCTGCCTGCTTCTTCTCCAGTTCAGCCACTCTTCCTTCCAGCTTCTCCCTTACAGCTACTCCTTGCTGCTCCAAGGCTGCGTACTTAAAGAGAACAACATGCAGTGAGCAGCGCAGGGAGGTGGGGCATAGTAATGGAACAAATAGCTGCTAGTTCTGGATGTGGAAAGTAACTTCTCTGCCAGTGAGGAACGTTTGCTCTGATGAGAAGCACAGCCTCGTAAACAACCAGTCATCCATCTTACTTTTTTCTGAAGGGCTTGCAGCTCTTCGGTCTCCCCTCGGTGTTGTAGCAAAGTCTTTTCCTCTAAATATCTTGACTGCTTTAGACCTGTAAACTGATGAGAATGAGGGAGGCCATGAAGATGTCAATCACTCACAAATCTGTTATTCTCACTTACATGAGAACATTCAACAAGCTTCAAATAATAATGAAGTAAAAAAATGAATCATGTAGGACTCGTCTTTTTAGGCTAAAAAGTTAGGGTAATAAAATGGAAGGTACTTTATACATTTGTTTTCTTTGGGATCAGCCTTTTATTTGATGCTTTGGTACATTGGGTTCGAGGGCCTTTATGGGACCTGAAAATAGTTTCCTGAATTACTATTAATTACTATTGTTCCTTGATCAATATAATTTATTGAGGTAGAGTGTAAGCCCCACAGAAAACAATCACACGAAAGAAATGACGTTATTAAAAAGGTTACTCCAGCATCATAAAGTGGCTGAACTGGATTTGAAAGATGAAGTATACTAGGACTCTTACTACGTGGAGTCCCACAGGGTAATCTGTAGCCTTATAAAAAGGGACCAACATGTGCCATTACAGGTCACCACTAATGAGACAGGTCTGTGATTACATGTCTGTGTTTTATCATGGCTAGCTCGTCTACCTTAGCCTGTAGCTGCGTTAGCTGGTCCTGCAGAGCATCTCTGTTCTCCGTCAGCTCCGTCAGCTCCCGACTGTGCTGTTCTCTCGCAGAGGTCAGCATCTGCTCACACTTCCCCTTCCAGTCCTCCTCCAGCTGAGACAACTTGGCCACATGCATAGTGTACATTAGTTAGTGGACGAGGTGTTATGAAACAGTATTTGTTACACCTCTCAGAGGGAACTTTCATTTTGTGTTGATGTATGCGGAGGTTCTGTTTCTAAACACCACAGTCCCTTCAAAAACCTCATGTTACTGCAGCGGGGTCCGACAATCTGTGGCCCCCAGTACTGTCCCCCGCCCCCTGGCCTCAAAGAAGCATGGTGTCAGCTCGCAGCGGGACGGACCCTCTGCTGGAGGCCCCTGGAGTCTGAGCTCAAGGAGGTTCTGGTGAATCTGCATGGCTTCACCAGAACCCGACCCGGGGCCACCGATACGAGCATTAAGAAGAACTATATAGATGGTCTTGATTACTGACGTAGCTCATTTAGAGGCCTTTTCACAATCAAATAAGGTTCTTCACTAGAACTTTATCCCCAAATCCAAGTTACTAAACCATCCGGTTAGCTGGGCCCCGTCACTGGACGCTACCTGGTCCGATGTCGTGCTGTCTGTACTGGTCCTGGCACTGTGGAGTTGAGCTCGAAGGTTGTCCACCTCCTGCTGGCTGCTCCGACGAAGCTCCTCTCCCTCCTCAGCCCGGCGCTGACGCTCAGCCTGCCACTTGTTCTTCCTCTCAGAGAACATCTTAAAAGGAAGAGGCCCCAACTATTAGTTTGCATTTACAGAACCATTATTTGACATTTCCAGTAATCCTAAAAGGGACCACTTGTGAAACATGCAAAGCTGGTCCCCATGGTGTCTTCTATGCACTGATAGGAATTATGATATGAATGAATGAAATGAAGGAGCTGCCCTTTCCTGCGCCTCCCACAGAAACATGACGCATCCTTACTCGTTCTAGGCTCTCTTTGTCGGTCTTTAGGTCCAGCAGTTCCTCCTCCAGGTTGTTGACTCTGAGCTCCATCTCCTTGCGTCTTTGCTTCTCGGAGCGGTACTGAGTCTGAAGGCTCTCTGCTGCCCCCTTCAGCTCTGGAACATGTATAGCACCATGGTTAGAGCGGGGTTTCTTTAGAGTTATCATGGACCCACGTGGCCTCTGCTCAGTCAGTGAGTGGAGGCCATGTCTTCTTCCTCTACTACTACTCCATTGAAAAATGAGATGAACATCAGTGTTACTCTGGTAAACTCAAAAGAGCATATTTCGATTTATCCGCCACTTACAATAGTTCTGCTTATTCGTCATGGGTAAAGGGGGAATGCAAAGGGAGTTAACCTGGGGTTGCATTTATGAAACAGAGTGTAGGTTCCACACTACATGTTGAAAGAAGTAGACCCACGTAAATCAGAACATATTCAGGATTTAAAACCTTCTACCACATATTCCAGTAGATTTCCTTTCATAAGCCGTGAATCAACCTGTAAATGTGAGCGCTGGTTCAGCATCACATTCACGCAGTCCAAGCTTAGCATTACACAGCACGAGTGTCACTGCATTATTGATATGTTTACAACCATTGGACTGATTACTTCCAAAAGGATTCTAACAATCAGTGGTGTCAACACCCCTGGAATCATTTTAAAAGGATTTTTGAACATTGAACAAGTCAATATTTTCCCCATGTTTAGGAATCACAAAAAGGAAATGTTGTGCATTATTTCACCCTTTCCTTACTTACACAATCCTCATGTGCAGGTGATGAAGATATGCAGGATAAGGTGATGTGAGACGGTGGGACGCAGTAACTATGGTGACTCCACTGAGCTTTGACACTCACATAACGGTTTTCAGTTTGTACAGTACGCCGAATCCGTCCCCAAACTATTAATAAACTTACTTATACTTTGATGAAATACTTTGATGAAAGATTTGATTGAGAAAAAAAAAATCTATAATTTCAAAGCAATAAGTGAAAAGAAAGGAAATCAAACGTGAGAGCCGTCGTTATACTCTATAAAAAATGAGCTTAAAAGTAGTAATTTCCTTTTTTTTATCCCATTCCAAGCTTTGTTTAAGGAAAATGCCAACAAGTATCAACACAAGTCAACAGTTTAATACTGTTGGAGCTTTATTTTTTGCTGCTGTTGATTGATTCCTTATTTCACTCCCTTTATATCATTGAGAATACAATGCAGTACAATCTGCATCCAAAATGATTGTGAAGATGACACCTCTTTGAAACGAAACAAAACTTGAAGTTGTGTTGCAGAAGTCGTCACCACTAACCTTCCAGCTGTGTTTCTATGGTACAGATGTGTCGTCTGTGCCTGTCGCCGTCATGCTGCGCTGTGCTCAGCTCACTCTGCAGCACCGAGGCCTTCTGCTGCTGAGCCGTAGCCTCCAGCTGCAGCTGAGACAGCTGGGCCGTGGTCGAGGCCAGATCCTCCGTGAGACGGACCTGATGGAGACGCAGAAGGACGGAGAGGGAGGTGAGGAGGTGAGGTACCAGTAGCGGAAGACCATGGCCACACAGGGACAGGCGAGCAACATAACGACACGACTAGATGACAGCATACTGGTCTTACTGGTGCGAGCAGTGGGCCCCTGTGGGAGACAAATGGTCTCATGGGAGAAGAAAGACACTTAGTTGTGAGGCGGTTGGTTCTTGGTCAGTAGTTCCACGTGAGGCCTCACATGGAGTATGTTTGGAAGAACATTTCAAGATCTGAACAAATATATATATTTATTCAGAAAGAAATATATATATTTCTTAAGTGGCTCATGGATCACAGAGTGGTGAGGGGGGGGGTTAAGTGTTGGCATGAGAAAGGCGTCATCACCTCGCATTTGGGGGGCGGGCCTAAGGCTGCTGCAGCATTCACATGAACCGAGAATAAAAGGAACTGGCGGAGGAATGGAGAAGGTTAGAAACCTCCTATGTGACATTTTCATTTTAAATCTCTTCCAGATGAAGCCAGCCCTGGTGCACAGAGGAAGAGGGCTCCCCTCAGGCACAGCATGCTGAGCAATGCTACGGTCTCGTCAGAGCAGCACTGCGTGCAACAGGAAACAGATTTCATACATATTGACCACTAGTCACAAACAAACAAAAAGATGACAATGTACGTACTCTGACTATTCGCGCCGTGAAATAAAGAAACTATGTGTTTTAGCTTTGGGACATCACGTCAGTTCTGATTGTCCAAAAGGTTCTGATGGTTCACTCACACCACAGTAGACATTCTGAACGTTCTCCTAGTGTGAGTAAATAGATGTGGTATAGATATTTTAACACCTCAGTGCTCTCTGGTGGACTAACTTTGCCCTACACTATTTGTGAACTACAGCTAGCAGATGGTTGGCTTCTCTCTCCTCCATCATCATCTCACATACACATCTGGTCCCAGCATGCATCAGTAGGGCTCCATAATAAACCACCAATAGTGTAGTGTGTCCACATAGCGTGACGGCAATGCTCACCTTGTCCTGCTCAGCCTGCAGCAGACGGGCCTGGTTGTGTTCGCTGGAGGACTTGAGGGAGTCGTTCCTCTGTTCCAGCAGCAGGTTACTCTGCTCCACATACCTAGATCAGCACAATCACATGACCTTCAGCTTCCTGATACGCGCTCTAATCTTCACACTGGGCCGCTCCTCACAGTGAAATCAGATTATAAAAAGACTATTATTACCAGTTACACTGTTATTTTAATTTCAGTTTCACATGGAATCATGATGAAACTACAAAGATGTGTCAAAGGACATTGTATTGTGTGTAGTTGTTTTTTTTCGAGCAATTTAGAAAACAAACAAATACGAAGCCACATCACATAATCAAGGTTTAAAACAAAGCATGCATGCTATGGCCATAATAATTTGGACTATTTAATACTTTGAGACTCACCTCTGGTTGTGGTTGATGAGCTCCCCAATCTTACGGTTTTGCTCCTCAATGCGTGAGCTTTTCTCAAAGACTTCCTTTTTTAAGCATTCGTTTTCCTAAAAAAATAAATCATAACTAAGACTTTTCAGAACACAACATGATCCCATTACGCCGACAGTTGTGCTGAGAGAAAAAGCATTTGTGTATGAACGGGGCCGAGGACAAAACAGCAGTCAGGGGATCCGCACCTGGACAATCCTCTGGATGTTGTGCATGATCATGGAGGTTTCCATTGACATATTAGGAACACCGTTGGAAACACTCCCCTGCCTTTGAAGGTCATCTATCTGCCCAAGTAAAACAAAAGACAAAAAGACAATCTCTCTTTTATGGACTGATGAGACGAGAGAGACTGGATCAGTGACTGGCTCAGAGCTCCACCTCCACCTAGCTGGTAGGAGGTGGAGCTCCATTACTGAAGATGAGCTAGTCGGACCTTTTTCAGTTGAAGATGGGATGCTAAATCGGGGTTGGGGACCCCTGCTCTGTAGCAAACACACTCTTGGACAGAGAGTTTATACCTTTGAGGCCAGTTGTTCAACTTTATCTGCTACTTTTCCAACAGATAACCGGATCTCTGTGTTGTGTTGCCGGGCCTCAGTCATCAGGAAGGACGTGACATCACTGGAGCCTGAGAACAACAACATCAAGGGTTTGGAATTGCTTCAGGTTTCAGCATTTAAATCCAAGGCAAAAGTCTTTCAGCTGAATTTGTATTGAATTAAGAGGCAAATGTTTGGGGTAGGAGTTTACATTTGATGCATTGAACATTGGCTCTTACCCATGTATGGGATGGTTTGTGCAGGGTACACATGGCCCACAGGCTGCAGCTGAGATGGAGCCAAGGCGTACGGCTGGGAAACAACGTCACTGCCTGATGTTAACACATATGTCAGTGATGGGTCAGTACAAAACATGGACAAAACCTCACCTGAAAGGCATGGCCGCTCCCCGGCAGCGCAGGCTGTGGGACAGCCGTGGTCATTAGTGGATGTAAGGCAGAAGGTGGAGCAGTGTAATGAGGATTTACTGGAGAAGAAAAAGAACAAGACATATTAAAGGGTGCAGTGTTTTTTTTGTAATGTGGAGCAGCTGGGAGAGCGTTGCACATGTGAACAGGAGGAAGGAGTTCACCGTGTGCTGCAGCTTGAGCCGAAGTGGAGATCTGCACTGGAGATGGAGCGGCAGGCGGATCCTTTGCTCTGCTGCCACTGGTGTCCTGGAGAGCAACCAAACAGTGGCACATAGTCAGTAATGACGCCCGATTGGCCAGGTAGCCATTTCTAAGGCCCACACCAGCTGTTGTGTATTGCAATTTCATGAAGTTGGAGGATTTGCAGAAGTCTGATTGAAAAGGGACAGGCTTGATGAAAGTCCTGAGCCACACGAGGCATTTTACAACATGTCTGTACCGTACATGCACCAGGATAAGCTCCAACCACGCTTTAAAAAAACAAGTAGCGTATAATGTACATAATATGTACAGAGCTTTGGTCAGAATTATTCACAATGGAAGGAATGTACTTTATAATAAACACTCTGCGTCCAGAGTACTTTCATCAAAATCCTTTTTCCTCCCTCCCCACCAACGCTAGCCACGTGACGGCCGTCTCCACCATGAAGTACCGGTGCCATGTTGAATGATTTGTAAGGAGTTAAGAACACACAGTGTGGGGAAAAGGCTCATCAGTTAGCCATAAGAAGGCAGTTAGGGTTACTTCCTGAACGGAGACACCTGAAGGGTGAGATAAAAGCTCAATAGTTTCATAATACACAAACAGGAGCCACAACTGAGAGGTATCACTAAGAGTAAAAGCCTGCGGACCCACCTCAAGTTCAGAATCACTGGATTCGGGCTGGTTGGCTCCTCCGGTCAGAAAGGGCAACATGGGCTGGCCCATCTTCGCCATGCGAGAGATCAGCTTGGCCTTCGTGGCGTCTGGATTCTCAAGGTCAAAAATAAAAGCTTCCACTAATACAGCTGCAAAATAACTGAACAGAACCATTATTGTATCAGGTTGTTGATAAGAAAGAAGAGGGGCGGGTGCTTACTGCCAACTGATCACTGAGGGAGTTGGACTTTGCACGAAGTGGTGGTTCGCTGCAAAACACAAGCAGATCATCTTCAGTGACGAAAGAGCTCAAGATGACGCTTTAACTATTTACTGAGGTTTCGATCTCACCATGGTCTACCAGGACCGGAGGACAGAGTCTGCGCCGGGACCTCTGCAGCCAGATTCTCCACACTGGGGGCTGGGGAGGGAGCAGCTGAGCTTCTGGAGCTGGCACTGCCACTAACAGACCCGTTGTCCTTGGAAAACTTTACCTAAAGGCACGAAAAAAAGCAGAGAAGGCTTCAGCTCACCACTGCAAAAGTTCAATGAAGTGTTTGTGTGACTTTAGATCGGGTGTGTTAGAACAGGCCCGTGTTACCCGTCGAAGCTCGGTCTCAAAAACCAGGGTGCTGTTCGCCGGGACGCGGTTGGGGATCCCTTTGGATCCGTACGCCTGGTTGGGTGGGACGACGATGAGACGTCTGCCGGCCTTCTTCAACCCGAGCATCCCTTCCTCCCAGCCCTGCTCACAAACAATGCAATAAATCACAAGTGGAATCGACCAACAGGGATATAGGGATGATGGACAGTCTACGGCTAAGCAAGTTATTGTCTCAGTAGCTACTGTTCACATGGTTTATCCCATTGGGCTGGAATACTTTACAGGGGACCGAAACTCTGCAAACACATAGCGGTCAAGCAATTAAAAACCCGTGGAGAGCACGGCCGTCCTTCAACTTGTTCATGTCGGTGTGTCTTTGGGCAAGAGACTTCCACATAGGAACTAACAGTCATACATGTACTGACGGACAGGCGTCACGGTAGCTCCTCCCATCAGTGTGTCAATGACGACATGTCATTTTAAAAATTGGACCAGAAAATACAACCGTACTTTTACGTTATTTTTTTTGCCAGTGCTCGGGTCTCATTTGTAAATAAAAACTGGTCCTTAATGGAACGTGCTAGATAAATAAATAAAACATTAAAACAGTGTTTCCCCGTTAAATAAATCGTCAGTAGAGATGCAGTGAACAGAACAGAAACATACATATACAATACAAGACTGGTTGACAGGGAAATATTAAATGTTAAAGGGAGTTCTGTATTGAATTCCAGATTTCAGTTTTTTTTCTACCAAAAAGATATTTCAGAAAAACTGGAGCCCTCCAGTGAAATGAAAACGTTGTCTTGTGTTTGAGGAAAAAGTAAAAAGAACCAGGAGGCCAGGAATAAAAATAAAAAAATGTTTTAAAAGTCTGGTGAGGCCTGTAAATCCCAAACCTACTCATTGATCAAAAGTAGTGTTACTTTATTGTTAGCAGTGCAGCTAGTGTTAGATGTCATTGTAAATATGTAGGATACTGTCCCAGGTTGTGTTACAGAAATAGTTTCATACATAACTAATGAAATATAAGGGAATCCATCCAAAGAGAGCATTTTACTGGACACAAAGATCTCAAATGTTAGTAATACTGGGAATATGCCTATTATAAGCAGGGACTCAACTTAGGCAACAAGTCCATTTTTCCTCACCTTAATCACTTTCCCGGCTCCTATTTTCAGTCGCAACAACTTGTCCTTGTTCTGGTTGGAGTCAAACATCTGCAATGGTTTTAGGACTCAGTGAGCTGTGTTCCATCAAAGCAGTCACACCTTACAAGAGGAAAGTAATGGTGAAAATGCGAGACCTGGCCAATGGCGTGGTTCTGCAGGAGCCAGCCTGTGTACACCACCTCCAACGAGTCTCCATTCTCCACTGCCTGGCCTTCACCAAGACCCAGATCCTGAACCACCACGGCCTCCAAGGCGACCTCACTGTTCACTTTGGCCAAACACACCTGATACGCATACAACAAATCAGTTTCTAAGCAACAATATGGTGAACGTATGCATGTAATGGAGGTGAGAATACTACTAGGTGTCACCTCTTTGCAGAAGTCCCATGAAGCCTTGTCAGATTCAAACATTAGGGACCAGTTCTGCCTCTGCTCGTCATAGAAAGTGCAGTAATTGTTTGGCTGTACCTGCAGGACAGAAACAACATGATCAGGGGCGTCTTTATTTCTGTAGGGTGGGGCGAGGGGCTCGCTATAGTGAACCTTGAAGACCTATATTCAACCTTATCAAGAAGACAGTCATTGTTCTTTTTTTTTACAACATACAGACAAGATCATATGAGCACATCTGATTTTATGAAAGAGATCCGAGCAGACAGCTAAAGAAGAAACAATGGCTCCTGCCAGAGGCAAGCGGCTCAAACAGGGGAGAGGGGGTCGGCCGGGATCCCTTCTGTCCCTCAGGTCCTGGAGGTCCCACAGGGACTCTGCAGATTGAACTGGGCTCTGAATTGTGCCCTTGTCCTTGCCAGTGGCAGCAGCCCACCAGATGGTGATGGAGGGTAGGATGGAGTAAACTATGACGGTGTTGAACTTTAGCTGACACTGGAAGTACATCCTCTGCTGAGCTTTCATGGATTACTCGGTTCATCCGGTCTGGTGTGGACAGTGCTCAAGAAGCTGAAGGAATCTTCCATGTAGTCAAACAGGGTAATGCGCACACTTCAGTAGCTTGGCGGACTGGTCATTGGAGACTGGCAGAAGAAGACTAGAGAAAAGAATGCAGTTTAAGTCAGAGACGTGTTCCCCAGAGCAACCAGGGGTGTCTGCAGGGGAGGTCCAGTAGAGCGGTACGAGGGTTTTGAGGAGGCACAAACCGTGAGCAATATGGGGTTAAATCACATCGACGTCTCCTGAAGAAGGCGGACCTCTGGTGGAAGGACGACCTGCTCTACCTCTGAGCCACAACCCCCCCCCGCACTCACTTGGCCATCCCCAAGTTGTCCAAGCATCTTCATTGGTGAAGGGACTTTGCAAAGTTGTCATGATGTGGCCGGAGCAGAAGAGGAAGAAGAGGAAGCAGGCCAAGAAGGAACAGAGGAAGAATGCTTCCAGATGATGTGACTCGATATGACACTGGGACTTCCCTGCATGTGTTCTACATTAGAGTAGTGTCATTCCAAGAAGGTCTGAAGAGTTGGAGATACATATTTACAGTACCAGTCAGAAGTTTGGACTTCACCTAATCATTCAATTGTTTTTCTTTTTTCTACATTGCATATTAATAATGAAGACATTAAAATGATGAAGGAACACGTTGAATTATGTGGTATGTTTCATATTTTAGACCTTTTGCTTTGCATTCCTTTAATCAGCTCAAGGGTCACGCATTGAGCATGACAGTCACTCATTTCGGTCTTTAGTCACGCACCCCCCCACACATCAAATTTCTCACGCAAAAAAGAAAATCGGACTTCGGTCCGAGCCGCGTTGGTTCCCCTTCAACCTGCCCGCCAGCCGTAACATAGCATCCACGCCACACCCCCTGTCGGCCGTAGCGTCCACCCCCCGTCAGCTGTATGGTCACCCCCGACAAAATGTCACTCCAGGTTTTCACCTGGAATGGTCAGCGGTTTATTTGTGGACTTCTTAATGTGCTTGAGACCATCAACTGGTTCTAATTCAGTGATCAGGCCTATTCCGCTGCAATTCCAATCCAGATTATGGAAAGAACTACTCTTTAAGACAGGAAGGTCAGTCAATCCACAACGTTTCAAGAACCCTGAATGTATCCTCAAGTGCAGTCGAGATAAGTGACTCATGAGGAAGTTCAGCAGAGGTCAAGTAGCAGACACATCAACATCAACTGTTCACGGGGGAGTAATGCCTTCATGGTTGAGTTGCTGCAAAGAAGCACTACTGAGGTAGAACAAGAAGAAGAAGAAACTTTCTTGGCCGATAAAAGGACTGGACATCAAACCAGTGGAAATCTAGACCAATGCACAGATTTGAGATTTTTGGTTCCGTGTGTGTGTGTTTGCACTGTATGGGATTTCAACAGGACAATGAGCCAGGTCACGGGTCACGGCTTGTATGAGTGCTCATATTTACGCATTTCTTCCGACAAAAGTTCTGCTCCGTTGTCTCGTAATCATTCTTCGTTTTAATAATGGCGGTATCGTGCTATGAAAGCGGAAATGTGAGATTCTGTAAAGGACGTAGTTAGCGGACCAATCGCAGCCTGGTGCGCTGCGGGAGGTTTGCGTCGCCTGCGTCGAAAGCGACGCAAACCTAGAAAAATGGGTCGACACACGCAAGGACGCAAGGAGGTGTGAAAAGGCACGCAATGGACACGCAAAGGGGTCTTGCGTCTGTGTCGCTCTGAAAACGCAGAAGCATAAACTAGGCTTTATGCATCACACTCTCCGTGTTTACCAAACCTTCTGTATGGCTCCACTCACCGTGAAAACAAAGCCCACATGGATCTTGGCGGCGGCCACTTGTTTCTGTTGGCTCAGGTACAGAAGCACCTTATACTGCAGGAAAAAGAGGTGCATTTTTCATACAAACCAAAAGTCAAACCAGTAATCTTAAACAAGTGATGAGTTTAGTAAACCTCGGACCTCTTTTGTTGTGTGGTTTCCTAGCACGGCCGCTCCAAGCTTCCCTTGCTTCACATACTGTCCGTTCATACTGCACATAGGACAGAAGTAGGACAGAAGCTTCTCAACTGACTTGGCAGAAGATGATTTGGGGAGTATTCATTAATTATGCCATCATTTTTTACGTTTTGTGCCGTAATTCTTGTGGGTGATTGAATAGTTGTAACTTTGTACATTTAGAAAAGACATGAAAAGCTTTCAGGCTACATTCGATGCTTGAAAAATAGGAAGATGCGACTCCTTACTATCTGAAGGCCTGCACTGCTGTAGCAAACAACACTGCAGGAGCAGCCGATGGGGGGGCTGGTTTCTGGCTGGCTGGCGCTGCAGACAGACAACAGACATGATTCTGAAATCTAAATCTATATCTTGAGTCAGTGACCTCTCCGCTCCGATGGTCCTACCTGGACTGGAGGTCTTTCTGGGCTGTTTCGGTGCTGTATACTGGAAGGACTCGTTGCCCTGGCTGCCTTCCTGGTCTAGTCCAAACAGGGAGGCCAACTTGGCCCTGCAAGGAGAACACGTGTGAAGATCACCTGCATATGGTTGTTGCCAAGAAATGTGAGGCCCACTCTGGTTATCGATGGCCTGTTTTGACCACATCTCTCTTAACATTTAATGGCACATCAAGAGAGCATCAATTCATTCTTGTATCTGATGAACTGAAACCAGCAATCATTTGTCATTTTTGGTTGACTAATGACAGAACACTGGATCAAACATTGATGAAACATTCGCTTTCTGGCAGCAACAACAACTAGAGTATGAAAATCCCAGTAGCATAACGACCTAATTACATACAGCAACACGGACATCGCTCACCACCACCGCGAGCAAAGGCACAGATCTCAGTAGACAGATTGCCAAGTTGCTTTTCTATCAAAACAAGACAAGCATCGGAAAAGTGGCCAGCTAACTTGTACTGACCCCTGGAACTCCTTCCACTTGTAATCATTGGGATCTTCCAAAAGCGACATGTTGAAAGCCTGCAGGCTCTCCTCCCAGATGGTGAGCAGTCTGTTTGCGTGTGTGAGACTATCTCCCTGTAGTTAACGTTGCAACCCTTCGGTCCCGGGCTATCCCGACCCCTCACTCCCTGGCGCTGCTAGATTTAAGGAGCACAGACGTGGTGCTGGGTCCTTCGCCTCACTCCTCTAACAGGCAGCATGTGACAGGAATTAGCCACCATTACACTGCTTCCCTGGAACACGTCGTACACTGGCCGCTTGTTCCTGCAGCTCATCCACACTGGTGCTGCAGTGTCAGACAGTCTCCAGAGGACGGGGCAGCGCTGGACTGAATGTCTCACAGTTCAGAGGGTGGGTATATTTATAGTAAGTGAGTCTGTCAAGTGGCAACACGGATTCGTGATAAGCTATGTGACTAAATTATAGTATCCGTTTTAAGTGGCTTTACAGAACATTTACAAATACAGTATAAACATGATTTCTAATTGACTGTGTGTTTACGTTGAGTTGGATTCAAACAGCAGGGTCTGGAGGCCATTACGTGACCTTTAGTTGGTCCCTACGTCAGTCATGATGAGCACAACAGGAAGCAGCGTGGACATGGGGAGAGACAGTGCGACAGTCCTCGTGAATGGAAGAGACACATTCAGATGTGTCCACTAGATCAGCAGTAGTGGAGTTTGTTCCACATGAGGGTCAATGGAAATCCTTCAAAAGGCGACATTTAGCCGAGAAGCAGCTTTGCAGGAACATTCCAAACACAAAAAGTGCACCGACCAGGGAGACTATTAAACAACATTCGGCACATGGGATATAAAAGCATGAAATTCATTTTCTGTATGAATTGCTATTTTGGAAGAAGAGGAACTTGCTGCAACAAGCAAACCGAATAAGATTACGTTACTTGTTTTGTTTTTGACTATTGGGCTTCAGTTTATTCTCTGAAACCTAAAACATGCAAACAAAATGACTTATTTGCAGGATGTCATATTGAATTTGGCTTATACCCAGTCAGCCAACGTTAGCCATGGCCAGGCCAGGAGCTAGTTAGCTCACCGGCTAATAGCATCGGCTAAGCTAAGGTGAAAAGCAACAAACTCACCCTCCTGTGGGAGACAAGAAGTCCCCCTCTTCATCGTCCCCCCCAAACATCTTCCGAGCGTGACGCCTTTTCTTAATAAACAAAACACGGGCACGAATGAGCTTTTTTACATGAATAGTTTGGTGAAGTATAACTTCCTTTTCCTGTTTATGCTGGAGTCAGCTGACTTTCCACGTGATCTGAATGCATAGCCGCCGCTGGAGGGCCCCACAGGCCATGCGATAGGCCGATGACGGCCTCATCAATGATTTCATCATATAGACGAGGTGATGATGACGTCACAGGTTCAATCCTCGTGCCAAGATAATGGCAATGCCAAGTGGAATATGAATGAATAGGGGTACTAAAACGTTTTAATATCATGTTATCACACTGACATGCTACAACTATGTTATTATGTTTTCACTGATTTGTTATCTATTTACCTTTTCGCTTATTTTAACCATTATTTTGCATTTTAAAAATGTAGTAGGCCTTTGTAGTAAAACGGGTATTACTGCGTTTCTACTCATAATTAGTTAGAATATATATATATATATATATATATATATATATATATATATATATATATATATATAACCTCGTATCAAATGTTTTCCTATGTTCATCACAGTAAAAATAGATCTCATTACGTTTACATAAACACGGCCTATTTCTTACAAACATCTTCAATTCAATCTAAGGGTCTATCCTTCCTTCTTTGCCAAATTCATTAAAGAGTTAAATGGTTTGGCTGGACTCCAAATAGCATTTAGAGTTGTGATAACATTGTGCGTGTCAACTGATAGATATGCTTTTATGTGATGGGAGCGTTAGAGTGTGGATAAACTCCACAAGAGGTGTGCATATTCTAAAGTTTGACATGCCCTCCTACCCTCTGCATCCTAATTCTATCTGCTGATATTCAAGTAATGGGAGCTTATGGCCTTTTTGAGATTTTCTTTCAAACTCACTGATGTAGACAGCTTTGACTCATGCTGAACTGTTCCATGTTGCATTTAAATTATTGAAAATATCATTGGCATATTTCAGTTGTAGCTGTCACTCTGTCTGCAGACCAATCAGCTTCTAGGCAAACCTCGCAACTGCTTTTAATTCACTTTGTGAGCATCGGTTTGTCCCCCACTGCTTTAAACAACGTGAAATAATATGGAGGTGCTGGGAATCCCGTGGACCACATTTTATGATGAGTAGCTCATTGTTTTGCTTCATGCACTGCTGCATCAGTGTTCACTGTTTATATCGCATGTTAAATACGTTGAACATTTTTTTGATCTTGAAAACAGATATGGCACGTATCACAGAAAAGATCTGATAGGTAACTAACCATTCCAGACATAATGTCCCTCCATTTCTCCACCAGTCAACACATACACACTAGACAATTACATATAATTCATCTTCTTTACTCTACTTCAGTATTTACACATCATCACTCTTTTATTTTAGCTTTGGGTCATTTTAACCATCTTTTTACTGTCTAAAATATACAAAAATATAATTGCATCTGTATCTTCCTATAGCAACTTTCATCAGTCCACTTCTTGCAGCATGTTAGGAAAAGGTACGGGATTTCCTGTTCCTCTTTGCTCGACTTGCCGCTGGAAAGCGGATGAACTCAAATTGTTTGCTTTGGTCCGTGTTGGGGAAGGAGGGCGGGCCAGTGTGCAGCCTCTTGATGAAATGGACCTCCCTCTGGTTCTCCCTGGTCCTGGAGGCTTTGACGGGCCTCCCCTTCCTGGTAAAAGCCACATACCAGCCCTCATACTTGGCATTCTGGAAGGCCGTGTAATTGTTCTCCAGTACGATCTCTGTGAAGATACAATCCCTGCTCCGGCCGTTGGGCTGCGTGAGAACACAGGAAAGGTTTCTTCAGTTAGAACTACTTAATACAGACCTGCAACCATTCATTTACACACCAAACCAGCAAACTGCTAAATCCCAGAGCTAAGTCATAGGATTGCAAATAAGCCAATTAACACTGTTTCTCATAAAATACCCAACCATCTTGAAGTGAAGGGGAGTGACACATCCTTTATGTAGCAAATGAGAAGTTGACATTGGAGGCAATAACACAACAATATCCAACGCAGAGATAAAAGCAAATTACCCACACTTTGACTTTGTTTTGTCCACAACAAAAAGTGCCGTACAATTAATTCAATACACCATCATGACTGTTTTTTTCAAATTAAGTAAATGGATAATAATGGTTAATGGAGTGTATCACAGAACTCCTGGAACTGTCAATGCAGGACCCATTAACTGCAGCAATGAAACAGATGGCCTGGAAGTGTGGGAAACCGTCCCCGCCTCCAACTAACACCTGAAAGGAAAGTTCTACACTTAGACTGAAGAAATCCCTTAAAGTATAGGTACAATAATTAACATCTGTTGTATATGAGGGTGCTACATTCTAAAGGCCTGTGCTCTGTCTCGTCTCAGCCCCTTTAAACTCTCACTTGAAGTGTTTATTTATATTTGATGATCAAAAATTCTTAATGTAAGTGTGAGGTTGATGAATCACAAGCAGAGCAGAAGATTTTAAGTAAGCTATGTGGAATAATGTGCACGCCGTTGGCCAAACAATTCTTTTTTGGGAAAGTGTGAGTGACCCAACCACCGGAGGTCATGTAGCATGCCTTGAAAGATATAAAAAAAATATAATAAAATTAAAAAGCGTTAATGTAAAAGCGTTTTAATAGATTAATGCAGGCAGAGGACCAATTACCATTATCAAAATGACCCAGAGCCATGTCTGACAAACAGAGGGCCAACTATCAGAGTTTTTTGACCCAGAACCGGGTCTGAAAGGCAGACGACCAATAACTGGAGGTTATTTGACCCAGAGCAGCGTCTGACTGGCAAAGGGCCGACTACCGGAAGTTATTTGACCCAGAGTAGTGTTTGACAGACATAGGGCCAACTACCCGAGGTAATATGTACTGTGTTGTCACTCAGGTTGTTGTTTGTTGGAGTGTCTTTGAGTGTACTTGTTCCCTGTCTTAGCAGTTTCATCCCTTCTCAACAATGATGAGACATATTATGACAGATATATGAATATCAGAGTTTTTTGACCCAGAGCGGGGTCTGAAAGGCAGATGGCCAACAACTGGAGGTTATGTGACGCAGAGCCGGAGTCTGACAAACAGAGGACAGACTAGTGGAGGTATTTTGACCCAGAGCAGCGTCTGACAGGGAGAAGACCAACTACTGGAGGTTATTTGACCTAGAGCAACGTCTGACAAACATAGGACCCACCTCCACAGGTTTTTGACCCACTGTGAGTTCTGACAGGCAGAAGTCCAACTACTGGAGGTTATTTGGCCCAGAGTAGCATTTGACAGGCAGAGGACCAACACTGTTTTTTGACGCAGAGGAGCGTTTGACAGAGGACCAACTACCAGAGGTTTTTGACCCAGAGCAGCGTCTGACTGGAAAAGAGCCGAGTACCGGAAGTTATTTGACTCAGAGTAGTGTTTGACAGGCAGAGGACCGACTACTGGAGGCCTATTGATCCAGAGCAGCGTCTGACAGGCATAGGGCCGACTACCCAAGGTAATATGTACTGTGATGTCTCTCAGGTTGTTGTTTGTTGGAGTGTCTTTCTCTGAATGTGCTTGTTCCCTCTCTTAACAGTTTCATCCCTTCTCAACAATGATGAGACATATTATGACAGATATATGAATAATATTTTAATTTCCGATGATGTAAGTGAAGAGTTGAGTTATGACTAAAAACGCACGCAGCGCAGTTTACGGGCAGGTACTTTCCTCCCATCGCCATCCCCCATGGCCGATAAGACTGATCTGATTTCACTCAGCCCTCTGACATTTCCTTTTTTTCCAGCACATCATGTGTCAAGGGGAATGACATACAGTCTATTTATGACAGCAGTGTGGGAGCTACATTGTGGGGTGGTATGTGAGATCTGATAAGCTCATGGATACAGATTTAGGATTTTACACCCACAAATCCTTGCAACTAGAATTGTATAATGGTAGCATGCCATACATTTCAATTAGCTTTTTAATTTTATTTTGTCATAGCGCTGATTCCATAGAATCTAAAAATTAATATAAGGTTTTTAGCCACATTGTTTCAGAAACAAAATAAATCTAGAAATCTATAGTGTACCTTTCCAACAAGTTTCCCCTTCCGGTTTATGCAGAGGTAGCGCCTACTTTCTGCACCTCTGATTCTCACTCGACTGCCAAAGGTATCCGTCTCAACAAAGAGGCGAGCTGTGAGGACACATAGAAGAGATTTTAGGTGGCTGAAAGAGATGTGAATACAAGTGAAGTGAATACAAACAACACAAAAACATGTTCATACTATCACCTTGTTTATTTTTCTTCCTTTTTAATTATGTTTTTGTTTTTTTAAGGCTTCTTGGTAAAAATACAGATTTTGCAAGTGAATTGTCTTTTTTCAGTGGATGATATCTCTGTTGAGCTGACACTACAGACTAAAGCCTAGTTTATGCTTCTGCGTTTTCAGAGAGACGCAAGAGCCCCTTGCGTGCCCTTTCGCACCTTCCTGCGTGCTTGCGTGCGTCGAGCCATTTTTCTAGGCCCTGCAGCGCACAAGGCTGCGATTGGTCCGCTAACTACGTCCTTTACGGAGTCTCACATTTCCGTTTTCATAGCACAATACCGCGATTATTAAAACGAAGAATGTTTACGAGAGAGCGGATCAGATTGAAGAGCTTTTGTGGGGGAAAATGCGTAAATATGACCGCTTACACAAGCCGTCATTGGCGGACTATAAAGAGGCGCGGATGGCCTCTGATTCATGGAGGGAGATCTCCACAAACGTCGGTTTGCCGGTCGAGGGGAACAAAGTCGTGGAGGAAAATACGGGACAAATGTGTCCGCGATGAAAAGCAGCAGTGGCAACCAACGACTTCCACACACAAAGACGTGACTCTCTAGGTCGTCTTCAACAAAACACGTTACTCCACCTGTTGTTCTGGCGGTGAATTGCTCTGCAACACACGCAAGACTTTTAGAACCATGAATTGAAACGAGTGCGTCGACACGACTGTGCGTAAAGACGCAGAAGCACGCGCCAGCCTTAACACTACAAACGGAGTCAATAAGAACCCATAGATTCTTATAAAGGGTTGAACAAACGTGATCACAGAACACTAAAGAGCAGAATATACATTCTCAATTCAATGTGTCTTTGTCCAATTATGGCCATTGAGCATTGCAACAGCCTTGTGTATTGGGGCTGTAGAGACAAAGGACTTGTCAGACGAAGGCTGCATGGATACAGCGGGGAGGCTGAATTAACATAAAAGCCTGGACACAGCTGCCAGAGGGAGGGACGAGCATGCCGGAGAGACTGGTGCTTGAGCATCTAGTCTCAGCAGAGACTTATGCTCCACTCTCAGGGAAATGTCTTCCCTCCAAGACTTTCCCTAGAATCCTATAAAGAATCTCTTAAATATTTTACCCTCATAGCAGTACAATGTCTGTTCACTAAGAGCGAGGGTTGGAGACAAAGACAACAGGTTTCCTGCTGATGTGATATGACCTGACATTTGTTACATTCAGGGTGCTAACTGGCGTGTTATAAATAATGTGTGTACCTCTACAATTACATCTGCGTAACAAGGATGAACAACGAGTTTTCGGAAAAATGATTACCCAGCGATATTTGAAACTCAGAGGGTCAGTAGACGACTTGCGTTCCAAAGATGTTTCGGGAATTCTCTTCCAGCTATCAGGGTGAAATAATAGAATGCCACTGCATAATAAAAATATGAGAAACCAAACAAAGACTGGGGCTGGATGTGTCCTCAATTTGTACAGGTTATTATTTTTTTATCCCATGTTGATTTTACCGGCCAATATTAAGTCTTTTTGTGAGATAGCATTGGGTCATTTCCAGCTGGTAATGACTACGTGACAGGTTACACAGCTTTGATACCTTTAAAGAGTTGGAGGTGTTCTGAGTTTTCAAAGATCAGAGGAAGGCCTTTTAATTTGTCACTGACCCTGTGTATGGAAACCCCTCCCACGATGAACGGAAGATGCAAAGCCCCTTGGCGGTCCCGGTCCGCACCTACCGAACACATCGCCATCCTCCGCCGTGGCGGTGACCCTCCTGCCGTGGATCTGCACGTGTTTCCCGCTGGTGCGGCTGTAGAGCTGGTAGACGCGGACCTGGCGGCGGCTCAGCTGGTCCGTCCCTGCGCCCTGCGTCCTCACATACTGCTTAAAATGAGGAGACGGGTGATTCTCCCCCTTTTTATGCAAGGGAAAAATGAAATGCATAATCTGAGAGGCTGGGATAAAGAAAAGTATAGTAACCGCGTAAACACGTTGGACAAATCCAATTATTTCTACAATTAGCTTTGAGTAATATCTGCAATATTCATATTCAAATGCATTATTCAGAAGGTCATTTTTTACAAACGTTGTTATTACATCGATAACATTATAGAGTTATATTGGGACGTTTGAAGTTTACCTGAGCATGGCACCACAGCACAAACAAATGAAATGATCTGCAGAAGTAACCATAGTGAAGACATGTTATTCTGAAGAAGTCATAAAGTGGCATCATACAAACACAGCTACAGCTGGTCGATCGTCTTACATGTAAATGCAGCGCTGGTTTATTCCATACATTGTCCTTTTTATTTTATACGATCAAGAAACGTGTTCTTGAGGCACATTTGTCCTGGATGATGCGGTGAATAAATCCAACGGAGCTCCCGCAGTGTCCTGACCTGTCCATCCACGCCAACAGAGGCTCGAACTTATTTCATCTATCAAAAGCCCAGTCCGGAGGTCCGAGTGGTGAAGAGCTGTTCAGGAGATCCGAGGAACGCACCCCCAGCAGACCCATCCATCCTCGGAAGCTCGTTAGATCGCTGAGCGCATCGCCGCGGTGGGGAGGGGGGGGGGGGGGGGGGGCCGGTCCCCTGGTTAAATGTTGAGAGGGAAAGTCCCTCCATGAAATCCTTTATAATGGGGGTGGGCGCAGCAACAGGACCTTAATATCACTTAACGGAGATGTGCAGGAAATAATATCTAAAAAAGGGGGGAAAAGCAATTCCCAAATCCAAACGAAATTAAACGGGGTTAAAAGTCTAAGAGCTTAAGAGTTATTCCTATCTTATCCTGTCTGTCCTGCTTCCATGTGGAGCATTACTGTAGCATTGTATTTAAAAGTGATGACACCTTATGGGTGGGGCAATTACGTGTTAAGGACCCCCCCCCCCCCCTCGCCCCAAACACACACCTCCTTTTTATGTTGTGTTAACTGGTCACACTTCCAAAGAGGCCAAATCATGTTCCGACAAAAGGGCAGTTTCATCTTCACGTAATACACAATCATCTAAAGATGAGCTCTCCTTCATCTGAGTCAACACAACCCATGCACAGAGAGGAGGGGAGAGAAGAGGAGAAAAGAGAAGGGAGCAAAGGAAAGAAGGAATAAAATAAAAGTAAAAATAGAAGTAGACAGGAGAAATAGTTGGTATGAAGCTTGATTTGCTTTAGACTGGCAGATGGGAGGCAGCAGCAACTGATTTCCCAATTTTACCATTTTGAAAACTGGTCAACAATAAAATTATGAAAGCTGTGCAGTGATATCGTATTGAGTTGCAGCTATATAACACCCAAACCAGAAGGCCTTTTTCACATCAAACAATTGTTGCAGTTATTCTTCAAAATACCCAATGGAACTGGAACAGGTTCCCCCAAACGGTGGACAGTTATGACTCATGTTACTAATTAACCTGGTCTTTCATTATGCCCTCCATCCAGCATTGTGCTGCAGCTGATACGTGTTGGAAAGCTGAAAAATCCAACAGTCCTCCATTTGGATGAAATGTGGTACCATCAATTTGTTGTCGAAGCTTTGTTGTGCTTTTCAGCTAATAAGCACTGATGTGACATCTAATTTGCATAGTGATTTATAGTCGATGCAGGGTCCTTACAGCCGAGCTTTTGATTTAAATCTGATAGTCCTCTGCAATGCCAGATGTGCTGGCATTGCATAACGTTGTGCTTTATATTCAGCCTTGGTTTTAAATAGTGACTTGTGATTAGGCCTACAGTGTTATACAAAAAGCGAATGAAATGACTTTTTTGAATATATTGAAATATAACCCTTTTTCAAGAAAAAAAGAAAAATCACTTTCTTTAAAAAATTCTGATTCCTTAAAATTCATCAAAGTCTGAATATTTTCTAAAAATAGAAGAAATTGTATTCATCTGCCGTGTGACTATGACTATGACTAACAATGTTCTGGAAATCCGGAATAGCAGTTGCAAAATCCCCTTTATATTTCTGTGTTATATCAAGCTAGCAAATGTTGTTTCCCCGCTAGTTGCGCGTCATGCATATTTTCTTCAGAAAATTAGAGAAAGATGGAGACTTTTTGGTTTCTAGTTGTCGCCACAAGGTTGTTCATTTTCATCAAAAATGGATACGTTGACAACGTTGTCAAGGATGGATACTTTTGAAAGCTCTGGGTTTACCTCGAGAGTAAAAGTTATGAAACAATGGCGTTGACACCTAGGTTTGCTACTTAATTAAGTGTTAGCAGTTGCAAAATAGTCCTTCCCTGATTCGTCAAGCCCGTAAAATGTGACAGTTTTACAGAAACTATAAAGGATCAAAGCATAATTGCTCCACAAAGACAGAGACATCAGCCCCCCAGCAGAGATACGAGTGTAAAACAAACAACAAGGAATCTAGGGAAACGTGTGAGAAGCATAAGCTGAGAAAAGTTCTTGGCACACAATGTAGTAATCTTTGAATTGTAAGTCTTCAATTTGAAGTAAATTTGATGTGAGTGTGTGTGTGTGTGTTAGAGAGACAGAGTAAGATATGGATCATTGTGCGACTGAAAAAAAAGATTGTCCGTTGAAGTTTATAGAGGAAGATGTTAAGTAAAAAACGCTACCTTTAGATTCTTAAAAACTACTATATGTCACGCCCGGACAATGGCGCTGAACCCAAATGCACATCTCCTGAGACGAGGTTCAAAATCAAAGCTTATTTACAAAAGTTATCAAATGAAAATCACTCTCAGCAGAGGAAAAAACCCCATACATAAGGGTTACCTAAACCCTAAACAACAAACAACAAAAAGGATCTAGAGAATAAACGCTAGGCTGAAAAAAAGAACGAACCGAAAGCCAGCTTGAACAAAGTACAAAAAAACGTAGACTTGGTAAAGGACAAAGGAGACACAGACAATATATACACACACATGGTAAGGACACAGAATGAAACAATCAGGGGCAGGGTAGACAATCGGACCAGCACACAACGGGAAGGAGCAAGTTGCCTGAAACGAGAGGAAGGTTAACTTTCAAAATAACAACATAGACACAAAACCTGATTGAGAGCCGCGGTTGTCGAAGTCTCTGATGATGATAAACCTGGAATGGACCCAAGAGCAGTGCTCCGGCCCATACCCTTTCCAGTCCACCAGATATTGCCGTCCCCTTCTCCCGTTTGCGTACTGTCAAGAGCCGCTCCACTGGGTAAACCAGGCCCCCATCAACCAGGCGGGGGAGTGGAGAGAGTGCGGGCACGCTGGGGCCCTCCTTAACCGGTTTGAGCGGGTGCACCCTTAGGGACCTGGGGGGTGCTAAATGATTTTGGATACGGGAAACGGGCCCACAGACCTGGGAGCCGACTTCCGGGAGGCGACATGGAGCGGCATGTCGCGTCTAGAGAGCCAGACTTTCTGGCCCAGCTAGTATGCCGGAGTTGGCCGGCGGCTCCGATCAGCAGCCTTCTTCTCCGCACTGTGGAGGAGGACCTTGCGACCAGCTTCCCAAATTGAGTGGCAACGCGGGATCATGTGGGGCCCAGTGGCTGCTATGAGGAGGAAGTTGTGGGTGTATTCCACCTCCTTCAAGTTAGGTCCTTGCTCCAAGATGATAGATTCTGGGATAGCAGGTTTCAGAGACACGTCTTGGGTGCCGGGTTGAGGCGCTCAGCCTGTCCATTGGCTTCTGGATGGTATCCGGACGTGCGGCTGACCATAGCCCCGATCAGATTGCAGAATTCTTTCCAAAACCGAGAGATGAATTGGGGCCCCTGGTCAGACACAACGTCTTTTGGAAAACCATGAATGCAAAAAACATTACTTAGCGTCTCCTTGGCCGATGCAGTTAGGCAGGGCAATGAAATGAGCCATCTATGAGAATCTGTCCATTACTGTGAGTCCAGCGAGATCTCCCAGGGTCGACTGGGCCGAGTGGTTGCAGCAGACCCGTCCTTGAGTTCCCTGCAAGACCACCAGAACCTTTTGTCTGATGGCATACATGGTTCTTCCTTTTCCCCTTGCCTTAACGTCTCTTACCAATACCCACCCCAGTCTGACAACCCCCCGGTTTACCCAAATGATGCTCTCTATTAACGGACTCATCCGGCTCTGGACCCTACTCTGTCACCCCGTGACGCTGCAGCTACCTCCCCAATGGCCGGTGTGGTAAAAATGCTTGGGTTGCTTGATACTTGACTGTGAGGCCAGATTGTCTCCCTCTTCTAAGCATCTACAATATTGTCGGGGACTCCAAAATCAGAAACATCTGCTTCTTCAAAACAACAACTCACTACATCCCTGGAGCCATGGCTGGGGTCATCCTGGACAAGCCCCTGGACAAGCACCCTTGGAGTTACCCTCTCCAAGGGTGTCACAATCTGTAAACACCCTCTTATCAGGACCGGAAAAATAACCTTTAACATGGGAGAAAAATAGGAAGAAATCTGTCATGTGTACAGACTGAATAACGTAAAAGATGAACAATACGTTCAATGCAGATTAAAGAAATTATTATAATATTGAGAGTAGTAAGCAGAATAATGATGGAAGAATTCCTAACGATAATGATAACAGCAGAACAACAATGACAACAAAGGGAGTAATAGTGTCAGCAATAGTAATGTGAGTACGACTATTAATGACAGTGGCAGTGGATGTCAGGTAGGACCACTGCAGAAGCAACCACCATCGCGTAGAACCGCTATCAGATAGAACGAACATAGAACCACCATCAGAACCACTAACAGATATAACCCCAATTGGATATAACTACCACCAGATGTAAGCATCAGATAGAACCCCCACCAGATATAACCACTATGAGATGTAACCACCATCAGATAGAACCCCCACCACATATAACCACCATCAGAATCACCATCTACAGAAACCTGTGAGGAGGGAAAGCACAAAGACTCCAGGGAACATGTGAGACAACAACAGCAAAGAAGTCATAAGTTGCCAGCTATAAGTGCTGCTTAAGTGCTCTTTGAAGTATATGGGTTGGGGCACAGCACTGGGAACTAGCCCAGAGGAAACTAGATGGAAAGGGGTCGGTGGCAGGTTCCTTTTTCAGAACAGCAGGTTGCGGTGGTCAGTGGCAGGTTCCTCCGGTGGTCGGTGGTAGGATCCTTTTTCAGAACGGCACAAGCCAATCTCAGTTGGGTATTTAGTAACATGAACCCGCCTCCTCCTCCTCATGCAAATTCCATGTAACGTTAAATGAGTATCTTCATGAGCATGTGTTTGCCGTAAATATTTTTTCCGAACTTTATTGAGAGTCTGGCGCAATGACTTGCAAGTAGCGCAGCGTCTTAAATAAAGTGATGTATGTCTTAATGCAAGGCTTTATAAATGAACACAAAGGAAGTTATAATTATTCTTGATTTCAATTTTATATATATATATATTATATATTTTAAAGTTATAAAGCATGCGCGATCGATACATATGTCTTTCTATTGTTTTAGCGTTGCCATGCCTCTCGGAATATCACCATGTTCCCATCATCCGAACGGCAGGTCGCGTGATCTGTAGGCACCTTCCGATAATATGAACGGCAGGTCGCTAAATCGGAAGGCACCTTCCTATAA